GTGACTGTGGTCCATGATACCAGATAATGTGAGGTTCAGGTTGGATCAGAGACTCTCCAGAAGAAGGTCTGTCTGAAACACAGGAAACACACATGTGCTTTATAGACACGTGTGTTTGACTTTATGTCTGCTGGACTTTACTGATACTCATGGATTGAATACTCATATGACATATTCATATATTTTCCTCATATTTTCATGATTTTATAACATTAAAATGTATTAATTTAAACATTAAAATGATTAAATGAGGCTCCTTTTAATGACATTCTAAGATGATCTTTATGACATTAAATAAATTAATGTCTTGTGCATTGATATTTCTGAGTGTGAATGACTTTAAATAGACCAAGAAACATGAAAATTATTTCCTAATTTATTAAAAATATCCTGAACTTTATAATTAATGTAAATAAATCAAGGATGTATTCAAGGTTTTTAGGACAGTTTCAGGAGATTTGTTCCATTTAAAGACCCTTAATCAAACTAAAAATTATGATGAATGTTAATGAATCTATTTAAATCCATATATGACTCAATAAAGTGTATTAATTGATCTTCACCTGTTAAATGTTCATTAATGATCCTCATGTTCAGTGTCAATCTCTGACTTTGTTGCTGGATTTCAAAGTTCAGGTCATTTTAAGGGAACACATTAAGGGATGATTTTCTTTGTAAATCAACTATTAAATAAAACTAAAAGCTATAATTTATTGTGTATTTCATTTATAAATATGGATTTTTTTATAAATGAAATACACAATAAATTATAGCTTTTAGTTTTATAAATATGGATTAATTAACGCTGCTGTGAACTGTGATTTACTGATGGTTGTTCTCAGCTCTCCCCCTCGAACTGCCACCTTACCGTGGTGGGGGAGTTTGTGTGCCCGAATGATCCTAGGAGCTATGTTGTCCGGGGCCCGGCCGGGCACAGCCCGAAAGGTTGACGTGGGCCCGCCCTCCTGTGGACCCACCACCCGCAGAGGGAATCATAGGGGTCGGGTGCAGANCTGTGGAGGCGCCTCCTGATCTGCTCACAGACCAAAGTCATCCAGCTGTGGTTTTATTTAGTTATTTATTTCTATAATTCTAACAGACTTCATGTTGCTCATGCTTTCTTATGCAGTCTGTGGTCACAACAAACTTGTGAGCGCCACCGGATGTGCTGGTCACCTGACGTGTGACGTGTTTCCTCCATCAGCGCTGCGGTGTCAACGATCTCTGGCATTAAATAAAATAGATTTTAAAAAACCAATAACCAACTGTGAAAACATTCAAAGACCTGTTCCAAGAAGAACAATGATGCTCCTTCTCTTGTCCCCTTATTGATTTAAAAAAAAAAAATATTATAATTTGTTTTAACTAAATTGTTTTTCTTTTATTTAACACAGAATTTTAAATCGTCAAAATACATTTATCCTTTTGAGTCTGATGTCTGTCAACTTGCTGGTTTATGTTGTTTGTAGAATTCTCCGTGTGGACATTCGTTGTTCAATAAAGTTCTGTCATGAAAAAAAAAAAAAAAAACAGAAGTCAACAGTCTGGCGGCGCTGAGCGCGCGGTGGCTCATGGGTTCAGCAGCACGTCGTCGTCCTTCTGTTTACTGCTGATTACACGCAGAGGTCCGAGGTGAGCGCAGTGTGCGGGAACATGAACGTCTCACGGGAACGAGTCCCGCGTCCCGTTTCCAGCCGCTGTCCGTTACGCAGCGCTCCTCTCCGCTGATTTCCGCACGTTAGCATCCTCCGTAGCCACCGTCCAGCAGGATGTGCAGAGAGGGCGACGAGGCGCAGGACGACTGCGGCTCCCGGGAGGAGTGGACGCTGCTGTTCTGGACCTCTCTGGCCGTCATCGTGCCGGTCATCATCACGCTGTGGTGCAGCGCGCAGCGCTCCAAGCGGAAGACGCACATGAAGGACTTCTTTCGCAAGAGCAAGCACGGCTGGCACTACACGGACCTGTTCAACAAGCCCACCTACTGCTGCGTCTGCTCCCAGCACATCCTGCACGGCGCCTTCTGCGACTGCTGCGGTGTGTGCGCCGACGAGCAGTGCCTGCGCCGCGCCGACCGGAGCCTGCCCTGCAAGGAGATCGTGGCTCCGTCCGGCCGCGACGGGGCCATGGAGCACCGCTGGGTCCGCGGGAACGTGCCTCTGGCCAGTTACTGTGCCGCATGCAAGCAGCAGTGCGGGACTCAGCCGAAGCTCTGCGACTTCAGGTAGCTGCTGCAGTGGAGGGTCTGGACTTGTTCCCCCTCCTCAGGCTGCTAAACACATGGATAGCTCTGAAACAATACGGAAAGCGTCCAGTTCCCTGCATGAAAGCCTGCTGTGGTTTCATTACATAATGGCCCGTTCATGTTAATCTGTCCTTAATGTGGTCTGATGGGCTGCTGCTGCTGTCATCTGTCAGATGAATGAAACACTGCTCATCCTGGAGCCATCAGTGGGGGACCACCTCTGAAAAGTCACTGGCCACACAACCTCAGATCTGATAAATCAGGTTTATTTACTGAAGCTCTGATGTCTGAGTGTCGGTGAGCAGCAGTAGATGGTCATACAGCCGAGGGCCAACCCGGCCGTCCATGTCCACAGACCTGTTGTTTTGTTTTCAAACTGCAGTCAGTACACATCTGTAGGCGTTTGCATCTTCCCTCGAACACAGCAGCTGGTTACAGGTTGGGCTGTAGTGCGGTGTTACAGTGGGATTACTGAGAGCACAGTGGACAGATGTAGCCTGAACATCTGGAGGACTTCCTGCTGTTTCTGATGATGGGAACGACTCAAAGCATCTCTAAAGTCCAGCAGTGATTACTTCAATTACAACTCTGATAATGATGAAGTCTGCGTATTACTCCACCCGGACCCTCACTGATTAGGGTGGATGACAAATTATACTTCACCTGTACCCAGAAAAGCAGGAATTCTCCTCAAGTGCAGCAGCAGCAGACAGCCCTTAAACATCACAGAACTTCTAATTGTTAACAGGAGCTAAAGTTTAGTTTGTGGCCTCCAGCTGTTTGTCTTTCCTCTGAGTTTATTTAACACCTGCAGCATCGAACAGCAGCAGGATGTCTGAAGCCTAAACAAAGTATTTTATGACAGTTACAGTCAGATTCGCAGAGTCAAGATGCTTTTCTGTCACATCAAATTTTTCTGTCATTTAATATCAACACATAGCAACAGGCAGCCGAGTAACGATGGAAACGTGGTTTGTTCGACTGTAATTGGCTGTAGTTTGGTCAGTTAAGAATTCTCAGTGTTGAAACCTGCTAAATGTTTCTGGAGCTAATAGAAATGAGCAGAGTTCAGAGTCTTCCTTCTGTGTTTTAGCTCCTTTAACCTTCCCGTGTCCTTTTTGCTGCTCCTCCAGATGTGTGTGGTGTCAGACCACGGTGCACGACGACTGCATGGACAGCCTGGCCGATGCGGATGTGTGCGACCTGGGCGAGTTCCACAGCCTCATCATCCCTCCTCACTACCTCTACCGGGTCAACAAGCTCCGCCGCCGGCACCCCGACGAGTACAGCAAGGTACCGGAGCTGACCGAGCCCCTGTGATCCCTCTGCGGGCGCTGTGTGATGCTCTATTGTGTGATGTTGTGTTTCTGCAGCTGGGCTCCTCCTGCGGCGGCGCCTGGACTCCGGTGTTGGTCTTGGCTAACACGCGTAGCGGTAACAACATGGGGGAGGCTCTGCTGGGAGAGTTTCGGACCCTCCTCAACCCCGTGCAGGTCAGCGTGCGGCTTCTTTATCCCATTTTACACTTTGGTTGCTCTGCTCCTTTTTCCAGAGCCTGCTCTGGTTTTGTTTTCAGTCCTGACAGTGAAACACAGATTGTTTTGTCTACCTGCTACACCTCTGTACCTGTTCCTTCCCCTCCCACCTCCAGGTGTTCGACCTGTCCGAGCTGACTCCGTCCAAAGCCCTCCAGCTGTGCACCCTGCTGCCCCCCGGCAGCGTTCGGGTGCTGGTGTGCGGAGGTGACGGCACCGTGGGCTGGGTGCTGGATGCCATCGACACCATGAAGCTAAAGGTTTTATTCATCAATCTAAAGTCGTGTTTCTTTCTCGTCTCTGCCTTGTTGATTTTAAGAAAGCTGCTCCTCTTCTCCAGGGCCAAGACCAGTTCATCCCGAGGGTGACCATCCTGCCTCTGGGGACGGGGAACGACCTCTCTAACACTTTGGGTTGGGGCGCCGGATACGCTGGAGAGATCCCGGTGGAGCAGGTTCTCCGGAACGTCCTGGATGCCGAAGTGGTTAAAATGGACAGGTGAGGTGTCGGCGCTGCTTCTGGTGTTTTGCTTTGGCGACACTCATTCCTCCATGTTTGAGTGTGAAGAGTTGTTATCGCTTTAAATCCCACCAGAGCGCCGTCGCTCCCATTTTACAAGTGCTCTGAAAGCGACCGTACCGCTGTTACTGTCTGTGCCTGAGAGAAACTTCAAACGGTTTCTGAAAGTAGAGAAGACGAGCTTTACGGGGATATTCGATGTATTACGGTAGCTCGATGCACTCACAAGTTGCTGCTGTCTGAACGCAGACAAAAAAATCAGCTCCGTCGTGGACTTCACGTTACTGCAGCTCCTCAACCGTTTGGGCTCAAGAGAGAAAGAAGGGGCAAAATCTTTTACAGCCAAAATAATAAAGAAAAGTGTGTGAGACTTGGGTGTTAAAGGATTAACGGGCTGTCCAGCTTTATTAGTCTTTAAAAATGTGTTTCTTCTGGCTCTGGTTAAAAGTTAAAAAAAGTTAAGAGTGTGGATGTCTGTTGAACAACAGAATGGTAAGGGTAAATGGACTGCACTTTACGAGCATCTTTCTACCTTAGCGGCACTCAAAGCGCTTTACAGTGTTTCTCATTCACACACATTCATACACCAATGGTCACAGAGCTGCCATGCAAGCTGCTGCCGCCGTTGGGAGCAGCTTCGGGTTCAGTGTCTTGCCCTCTGTGGAGGGGATCGAACCACCAACCTTACGATCAGAGGACAACCTGCTCTACCAGCTGAGCCACAGCCGCCCAGAAGTCATACGTAGCAGTATCCAGGACTGTTTTCATGTCGGTGTGCAGAAGAATGTAGATCAGTAGTTGTTTCTATTCACTAGATGTATTTAAAAAATCCAAATAATGACAACATGTTTGTTAAAAGGGAAAGTCTGAGTGATTCTCCTGCTTGTGTTTGTTTCAGATGGAAAGTGCAGGTAGCTTCAAAAGGCCTCTACTTCCGCAAACCAAAGGTGAGTTTAAAAAAAAAAGAAATGAATCCACAGTAAACCCACTGAAGTGTGTCTCAGCAGCATGAAGTATAACCGATGAAACTCCTGCCCAGGTTCTGTCCATGAACAACTACTTCTCGGTGGGACCCGACGCTCTGATGGCGCTCAACTTCCACACTCACCGCGAGAAGACGCCCTCCTTCTTCTCCAGCCGCATCATCAACAAGGTCATTTGAGTACACAAATCACACGCAAATGCTTTATGATTTCAATACTCGTGCAGAAGAGTCATCAGAAGTGTTTTGCATCGATGTCTGCTTTTCTGTCCCCCTCAGGCTGTTTACTTCCTGTACGGCACCAAAGACTGCTTAGTGCAGGAATGTAAAGATCTGGATAAGAGGATTGAGGTACGGTAGACCTGTGCACGCGAGGAAACGTCACGCCGGTTCTGTTTTCACCGAATCAAACAGAACCAGCTGAGGCTTCATCAGGCCTGAAACGTTCACTGTTATTTCTATTTGTGCATTTGATCCAGAACCTGCAATGCTGGATCAGTGGATGAAATAATCTCTGGTTATGTGGGAGTCGAAATATGACAAAAACTAAGCTCTCATGAAAAGAGTCGATAAAGCAGAAGTCAGCCAGCGATGTTTTCTGGACCACATGTAGCTGCACGTCACAACAACACAAAACTAAACATACAGAATACCTAATCACATGAAATACAGGTAATGAGATTCAAACATCTCCTCAAAAACTTGCTAAAACTGCAGTTACGATATCCAGGTGCCATTTTAAAAAACGTCTTCATAAATATCCAAATTCTATGCAATGAAAAGTGTTGCACGAATCATGAAAATATTGATGTGAAATAACCCATAAAATGTTGGGCTGTCCTGGTCACAGCACTTCAGTAACCAGATTTAGGGGGTTTCTTATCGAAAATGTGTGTTTTAAGAAGAGATGAAATAAGATTTTGAAATTACATACCATGAGAATAAATGCGGTGCCCAGTAGAAAAACATATGGTGCATGACTGTAGATTAAAATAAGTCGGCTAGAATCAGACCAGAGTAGAAAACGTTAGAAGTAATACTGGTGATGTTTGTGAGGTCGTAAATATTATGATGAAATATTGCACATGAAAATTAAATGTGATTTTGCACAAAAGCAATATTGATATTCAGTTTTCAGCCGCCGTGTCCGCAGAAAGGGGGGAGGATTTATATGTTGTTTTTATGGCCCTGATACGCTGCTTCCAGAGTTTTATGGCTCCAATTTTCGGTGATTTAATCTGTAGTTGACAACAGAGATGTGTGTTTGTGGCTTCAGCTGGAGCTGGACGGGGAGAGGGTGGCGCTGCCCAGTCTGGAGGGCATCATTGTCTGCAACATCGGCTACTGGGGCGGAGGCTGCAGGCTCTGGGAGGGGATGGGAGACGAGCCGTGTCCGCCCACCCGGTAAGATTAGAGAGAGTTAAATCTCTGAATACAAGTTGATTGTTTATTCTCGTACCGTTCGTTGCTGAGAGTTGTTTCCTGCCTGCAGGCTGGACGACGGCCTGCTGGAGGTGGTGGGGGTGTTCGGCTCCTTCCACTGCGCTCAGATCCAGGTGAAGCTGGCCAACCCGGTCCGGCTCGGTCAGGCCCACACCGTCAGGGTGAGGCTGCACGCTGCGCTTCCTGTTTACCCCATTAGGCCCCACAATGAATGAGTCTAATTAGCTTCTGCTGCCGTTTTCCCTCAGAATCTAATTTTAGCTAATCTGATTGAGCGTATGTGTGTTGCTCAGCTGCTGCTCATTTTTCCCCGCATCACTCTGCTCTTTCAATCCTGAACCCCTCGGTACAAATCCACTGCTGAGCCACCGATACCAGCTCTGAAGAGAGAGAACAGAGCGAGAGGACGGCTGCTGCTGAATATGAACAAACTGATTCTTTCACACAGTAGCTGCGCTCAGAGCTGTCGGACACTTGGCTCAGTTTTAGGAGTCTTTAGAATTCAGGGATTGTAAATATCAAGATGGGTTAAAATCCATTTTAAAACTGTGGGTAGCTTCTGCTTCAAAGCCGGGAGTCTCTGTGCGCCTGTGAAAATCACACCCTTGTTTGTTTTAAGCTGCGATTTAAAAGGTTACGCGATGAACGGCAGATAGCAGCAGCCTTAAGTGGATGGTAAATGATGTTGTAGCCATGGCAACAGAGGCCGCCTGGCTTTTCCGAGTCGAAACAGAGAACAGAAGTGTCGCTGAGAGGAATATGTGGCGGCGACTACCAGACATGCTGCCAGAGGAAGTCGGGATAAAACATCGGACCCGCTCTCCAACCCATCAGCTGGTTGTGGGGAAAAGAAAACCCGTCAGTCACTGAGCGTTCTCCACGAATCCGGCGTCTATGTTCTGTTATCTGTTTCCACCCGCCATCGTTTTCTCTCTCCTGTACCCTCACACCAACCCTCCCTGAGCCCGGTTCTGCTGGAGGCTTTACAAGGGGCTCCTTCCTCTTTACTGCCGCAAATATGGCGCTCAGAATCTCCCGATTCTTCAATTAGAATTGTCCAGAATGAATAATAACGTATGGCTTTAGCCTTTCAAGTTATATTTAATCAGGTAGATTTGAATTTTACATCACTTTGCAGGGTTTTATTAGTAGTGTTAATACACTCAGGCCAGTTCACGTCGTAAATCACACTGCAGGGGCTCAGCTAGCTTTTTAATATGTGATCTTATCTTCTCGAGATAATACACACTTCAAGTGCAACTTCAAAGTTATAATAAAAATCGATCTGCTTGGCAACTGAAAAGCTCTGAAATGTATGAAAAAAAAAAAAGTGCATTCCTGCTTCAAAGCTTCATGTTCGTGGTCGTGTCGTAAATCTCTGGTAGGAAAATGTCGTGTGGAGAGAGCAGGGTGACAACCTGCGTTCTGTCAGCTGTAGTGACTGATTTGTGCCACCAGGGGGAGCCTCTTACCGTTTAGTACTGTGTCACTCAGACTACAGGCGGCTCATTCAGGAAGCAGAGAGCATTGTGGGGGTTTAGGTAGCAACGGGACCTCTGACCAGAGCTGGGAGAGTTTATGAGAAGCGCCACGCTCTCTTCCTGCGACCCGTCTGGCAGTCGACGCTAACGGAACGATCTGGGCTGATAGTTGACATTCCTGTGATTGTTGCTATAATTGTTTTTATTAAGCGATTATTGATGAATTGTTTCTCTGGTGGAGGAACAACCTGCAAAAACTGAACAAGAAACTCAAGCATCAACTCAGCAAACCAGGACTGGGCGGCTGTGGCTCAGGTGGTAGAGCAGGTTGTCCACTAATCGATGCCCTCCACAGTCAAAGTGTCGTTGGGCAAGACACTGAACCTAAAGTTGCTCCTAATGGCAGGCAGCACCTTTGGTGTATGAATGTGACCTACATCGCGTTGGATAAAAGCGTCTGCTAAATGAGACTGTAAACCAGGATCTAAACTATTTTCACAAGTTTAGAGTTGATTAGTTCTGACCTCCATCTGTCGTATTACGTCCCTGTCTTCTCCTGCAATATTTAAACCCGTTGGGTAAATTTGGCTCAACTGTTGTCGTTTTGAATGTGCTGTATAAATACCTGGACCTGGCGTTTGTCTCTCCAGCTGGTTCTGAAGAGCTCCAAGATGCCCATGCAGGTGGACGGGGAGCCGTGGGCCCAGGGTCCCTGCACCATCACCATCACCCACAAGACCCAGGCCCTCATGCTGTACCACAGCGCCGAGCAGACGGACGACGACGACGACGAATCCAGCGCCTCGGAGACGGAGAGTCCCACCCCTCACGACTCGCCCAGGCCTCCGGGGCCGGCCTCGGCTCGCGCGCTACCCATCATGTGATCCCTTCTTGTCCTTTTTTTTTTCCAGCCCGGTTCTCTTTAATCCCTCGTGTGCATTCGTCGTCCTCCTCCCAGGTCTTTGTCCACACAATCACGCCGATGTGCACCGATGGGTGAGAAAGATTGGAAGTGAGCTGGTGTGAGTCGTTTCGTCGGTCTTTTATCGTGTAACCCGGAGCTCAGGCAGTTTCCCCTCCGCCGTCAGGAGGTGAATGTTGTGGTGAGAGATTGCTGTTCATTTGCACTGAGCCCTCGTGCCATAGATAGTCTGTAGTGTATTTATTCTACTGTATGTACAACTGAATGCTCAGTGCAGCCCTGCAGGTATCAGCGAGCCATCTAACAGGTCGCCCAGGTTCAGCTGACCATTAAAGCCATGTTTAAAATCAGCGGCAGGGGACATGAAAGAGAGACCAGCACCGTCACAGGCTGGTTGTGGAGGTCCGGCGGATGCTTTATTTCTTCTAAATTTTTATCCGCAAAAAGCACAAACAATCAGAGGGAGACACATTTTCTGAGAAGGGATAAGATATAAAAAACAAAAGAAATCCTCTTTCAGGCTCCTCGTCGCTCGTTGATGGTTTGTTTTCTCCTGCTTTTGTCGCTCGAGCTGAAGCTTTGGTTTGTGTGTGCGGGCTGAGGTCAATCACTGGACGTGGATTTGTTTACAAGGAGCTCGTCCAACTGTCGGATCGCACTGAGGTAGCGTCTTAAAGTTCTACGTGACGCTCCTGCAGGAGACCGTCGGACTTGTTAGGAAAGTGCTGCCAAGTAGCCGTTGTTCAGAGGATCCATGTTTCCTTCATGCAAAGCCTCTTGTTTTTCCTCTTCTTTACACAGTTCCTCCTGTTTACAGATTTTGTGTTGCACTGTTCTGGCACTTACACTGATGAACACCTTAACTGCGTAGGACGTAGCTGATACACAGTCATGGACCAGAGTTTACACACACTTGTAAAGACCGTGTACATCATGGCAGTCTTGACCTTCCAGTGACTCCTATAATTGCTGAAACACATGCGTCCTTACCACCAGGCATGGCGGTGGCAGCATCCTGCTCTGGGGACGTTTTGCTGACAGTGGAATTTATGTTTTACACAAAGTACATGGAAGAATGAAGAAGGAGGATCATCTCCACATTCTTCAGGAAAACCTAAAATCATCAGCTAGAAGGTTGAGTCTTGGACACAGTTGGGTGTTCCAACCAGACAATGAGCCCAAACACACATCAGAAATGGTACAGAAACGGCTGAATCAGGCTAGAATTAAGGTCTCCCCAAATTCTTAAATTAAACCCAATGAACAAGCTCTGAGCGGTGATAAAGAAACAAGACAGTTTAGCTGAACTCAGCCAAGAGGAGTTCCAACCAGAAGCTTGTCAACGGAAACCAGAAGTGCCGAGTTGAGGTGAAAATGGCCAAAAGACGTTTGACCAGATATTAGCATGTCTGTACGGATGTGTTTGAGCCAGCAGATTAGAATAAATCTGTAGAATAACATGATTGTTTTTGCGTGACAAAGACGTGTTTCAATAATTTCATCACATGAAATTCAGAGTTTTAGGAATCACTAGAAACTCAAGACTGCCGTGATAGACGTGGTCCCTGTGAGCGTATGGAACTTTTGTTTTAGTGTTCATCAAACTGTACCGTTGATGTTTCTGCCCGTAGTGATAACTGCTGATGAGATTACGTTGTCCCGTGTCGTTATTTCACTTTATTATTCAAGCAGTCCTCCTCTTGCCTTTCATTGTTTGTGTTTTACCCAGAAGTCTCCACAAGGTGGCGGAGTCAAGGCAGTGTTTTTGTAGACCAGACAGGTAGAGTTGGTCTCTATGTTTCTGTAAGGACACCTGTGAAGTGCTCAGGTGGCTTTGGTCTGCCTGTGGAGTTTTACTGATTACATCCTCGCCGTGTGCAAGAGGACGTTTGTGTTTCTGTGTGTCGGGTAGCCACAGAAATTCATTTTGCCATGTTGAAGGTGGTCCTGTGTTTCGCCGAATGCCTGTTTGTTGCTCAGAGCCATTCCCTGAAAGTCTGTAGAATGTTAGTTTGTGCTTTGGAGCTGATTTGCTGCTCGTACGGCTGGACAGGGATCAGTTTTTAGCCGCGTGATGCCTACGCTTTTGAAATATGCACCTCCTTGGCAGGTAACCAAACCTCGTGGTTTCATCACCCTCTTGTTTGTTTGGTGAATGTCTTTCTTGTTGCTCAAGGACACCCGGCAGACCTTTTACCCGATTCTCCATGTTTACCAGAGTTGTTTCCTCTGTGTGCTGTGTTGCACTGAATTTGCTTAAATGTAAGTAGAGCTTGACTGATGCTGGATTTTCAGATGCTGATGTTGGTGATATATATATTATATTTAGAGCCTGGCTGATACTGTTGAAATATATCAGCCTGTCACAGATGTATCGGTAGCAGCATATGTGTTGCTTTTATCATGTTATAGTTTGTCCAGTTGAGCAGCTCTGACTCCATTGTTTGCGACACTGTCTGCAGCACATGCAGCAGAGCACATGTCACACCTGAGTGGATGGTGGTGCGGAGTCAGGTGGTGTCTTACAGTGACCACATCATTTTCCCTTTTCAAGATAACTAACGTATTTATATGAGCGACATCAGCCAATATGTTGACATGAGAATTTATTACTTCATAAAATCAATCTCGGACCCAAACATCTGGTTTTGTTCAGGCTCCAGATCAATAGTCGGAGTCATACTGAAAAGGGAACATGATGATGTCATTGTTTATCTTTCCGGCAACGTATTTGACCAGCTAGTTAGCAGCTTGCTAAGAAGACAAAGCTCGACTCCGCACCACCATGTGTGGTGGTGCCAGAGGAAAAGTTGGGGTTACCAAAGTCAGTCGGGTTCATCCTCTGTGGACCACGAATGTCTGCACAGAATTCAATGCTGCCGTGTGTGGACACTGCCTGCAGTTCAACCGAATGGCTTCTCGGTTGCAAAAATTAGTGCAGAATCTTTGGTGTTTAGAGAATCTGGTGTTTTTGGCTGCAGACGGTGCTGTGAGTGTTGTAAGCAGTGGAGCCGCTCTGCTGGAGGTTTTCTGTCGTACTTTCTGTAAAAGACTTTTTCTCATATTGGACGACGCATACGCCGATAGCGACAAATCTGTTAAAGGCCCATATCAGCCAGCTGGTGAATCGATGGGGCTCTAAATGTAACCGTGGTTTACTGGTAGGTTTTTAGCCACGCTAGCAGCATGGTTCTGGTTTACAGGAACTGTCCTGATCACTGCAGATATGAACTGTCTCCACACATTGAACCCGGGTTTCCATTCCCTCTCCAGTTACTGATTTCACCCAATAATCCCTTCCTGCCTTAAAGTGTCTAACACTGAGAATTAGCATCCGCATCCGGACAACATGTTGGTAGATTCCAGCAGTCGCCAATATTGGAAAGAATAATTGCAATTTGAACGATTGAAAACAATACCTGAAGACTTTTGCTTGTTTTTTCTTCTACAGGGTTTTTTTTTTGTAAACAATTGGTCTTATTTCTGGTTTCTTCTTCTCCGTTGATTGCATAACGTCGTCAGTACCGCCATCTTCTCACAACTCTGAGCAAATGAATTCATTCACATTTTTAAAGTACGCTTTAAGATACACAGAACCTTGGCAGACGCTAAATGGTGGCAAGTTGTAATGTTGGAATAATTCACGTTTGAACGAGTGCTGAGAAAGAATCATTCACAGGAAGCTCTGCTCTTTTTTAACGTATGAAACCCTAAACTGTCGGTTTTAAGTTGGAAACGCTCGGCTGTGGCGTTAACTGCTTATTTTGCTTTTTATATATCTTGTAAAAAAAAAAAGCACCATTTTGAAATGCTAACGAGCTAAAACACAGAATTTTCGTTGGAGGGGCTCCTCATGTTTATGACGCAACGCTGCAGAACTACCGTCCCAGTTTGTTTCTGCTGCAACTGCACTTCCAGGCTAATGCTAGCTAGCGTGCTAACATGCTAAATATTAGCATAGCGCACCCACCGCATGCATGACGACCCCAAAAAGGTTCATTCTGATCCAGGAAAAAAAAAAAAAACACTCCCTTAATAAGAACAGATGTGAACAAGTCTCTGTGTACAAATGAACTCAGTTTAAACTTTTTTAGCCAAAATATTCACAATAAAAAGCTAAATGTGTGGCATGTAAATGGATTAATGAGAGGATTGATACCAAACACCTCACTGTGATGCTAGCGTGGCTAATAGCGACTCCTTGTTTTATTGTGAAGGGTCCACGGACGGTTGTGACGTCGTTGGTCGTGTTAAATGCTCTCGATTCACAGCTGACAGTTTGTTTAGAGTCAAGCAGCCAAACTGAGTCACACTGTGTAGCTACCGTTAGCTAACGTTGAACTATTAGCACTGGGCTTCTGCGTTCTCACGTTTTTCTGTGTTACATGTACCAAAAATGCTTTCATTATTAATCACCGTACATCGGAACATGCTTATGTGTGGGGTCTTTTTGCCGTCGAGTATGTTTAAAAATATGAGAATGCTAAACGACGATTTGGAATTTGCAGAAGAAAATAATCTGTTTTAATATTGACGACAAAGCAAGTGGGAGGCCTGATGTGGCAGGAACGGAAACACAAAGAGAGAAAATAAGCTTTTATTGCAAACAATGGTGTAAAACGCAGCTGTTTACAAAATGACGGAGAGTGAATTAGTTGTGCCACAGGTGAGAAAAAAGAAAACTGATTTTGATTGACATGAATGTAACGAAGCGACCTTTTGAATTTGAAGACATTCCCATAAATATTTTCATATATAAGCTCGCCGTGTCTGTGTCTCATTGTTTTATAAAGAAGAAGAAAACATCTGTTCAGTTTAACACTCACCAAGATTCACATATATTCAATTAATCATTTACACACAATCAATTAACACAATCACACATCGACTGTTTAGTTCATCAAGTGTGTGTGTGTGTGTCTGTGTGTTTTATTAACCCCTGAAACTCCTTTTTTTCTCCTTCGTTTTACTCCTGTGTGAGTCGTGCACCTCTATGGAAACAGCACAACCGTGGCCAGTACTCGCAAGAAGTCAAAAGTGCCTTTTGTGCAAATGACAACTTTATAATGTCATAAAAAGAGAAAGAAAAAGCAAAATTTTAATTCCTACAATTACTTATTTTACAGAAATTGCAAAAACGTGCCCATAGCTGCTTCCAACACCAGAAAAACTGTTGACTTTGTGTATTTTACTATGTTGTTCTCACATCTGCTCAGAGGAAACGCTGCCTGCAGTTCAGCTGGAAGATCCCAGAAGGTTTCACTGGCTGCAGCCGAACCAGTCGTGGACCTGTTGTTGTTGTTTTGTTGTTGTTGTTGTTGTTGTTGTTTTGGGGTGTCGTTTTGGTAAATTTAAGAGACATGTAGACGTGAGATAGTCGTGAGTTTGAAGTCTAGATTTGGCAATTTTAGAATTGTGCAACACAGATGAGTAGTTCAAGGACCACCGGAGAAAGTTGTACATCTGACTCTTTTTTTTGCATTTTAACAGCTGCTGTCATTCTGTCCGTTTGTTTATTTTAATGTCATAATGATTTCCTGGCAGAACTCTACGTCACAGAGGAGTTTATGTATGAAAATCTTTCTGTTTTTACAGTTTCTGGATCTGATAAAAACCTGCAGCTTTTAAAAAACCATCACCCCTTTAAACACTTTACCCACGTTTCATGCTAACCCAGACCTGTTGGTGGTGCCAGAGGGAAAGCTGAGTCGGTCGGGTTCATCCTCTGTGGACCACGAGTGTCTGCACAGATTTGAATGCTGCTCTGTGTGAACACTTCCTGCTACGGACGGCTGCTTGGTTGCAAAAGCAAGAACAGAGTCTTTGGTTTTTGCAGAACCTCGCTGGAGAAAACGGTTTGTTTTGGGTGAATTTTTAAACTAGAATAAAGTGATTTTGATATAAAATATAAAATATGACGATTTTAAGTTTAGATGGAGGGACGCCACAGATGAGGCGTCCAGGAAAGTTGAATATGTGGCAGTCTCTGATTTTGATTTAGTCTTATTTTCAGGGTTCAGAGGTTTATTATTGTCACTGATGATCTGTAAACGGAGTCCCACAGGTCCTCCATGTGGCAGGACTGCAGGAAAAACTCTGCTGCTGCTGCTTCCACACATCAGGACCACATCTCTCTGATTTAGGTCATTCTGTCTTCAGTCAGCTTTCCTTTGTGGTCATTTAGTCTTTAGTGTTTGCTTTGTGTGTCATTTCTCTGTCGCTGTATATTTAGACTGTTTTAACATCTCTTTCTGTCAATTTCCCGTCTTTCTATGATTGCTTTGTCTCTCCTGATGGTCTTTTTGCATCTTTTTTGGATCACTTTATATCATTTTTTTTTTTGTTTTACATGTTTTTGTTATAATTTTCCAGGTTTTGTGTTCATTTTTGACTCTTTTTGGTCATTTTGTACTCACTCTGCCTCTCTTTGTGACTATTGGACATCTTTTTGTGGTGCTTTTATTTGTTTTACGGCTGCGTTTTGATTGTTTTTCCATCACGGTTGTGTTTTTACGCGTCATTGCAGATGTTGTGCTGGAGGAGGATGGTTTCTGGGTTTGTCTCTCGCTGGTGGCTTGTTTCCTCCTGGAGCGCTGGGCGGCCTTTTGTCTTGTCCTGTAGAACAAAACATGCAAAAAGTTCTCCTCAGTGGATCAGTTAAAGTGTGAGAGCTACTGTTGAACTGATTAGAATGAAAGTACAGCAACGTAAACGCATGAATTATTGAACGAACCTCCAAATGTAAAATGCTGAACTGATCAGCACGTCTGTAAAACTATGAAAATGCACTTACTTTATGAAACCTCGAGGCACAAGCATTGCCTCAGCGAGTGCCTGTACGGGCTCTGAATTTAATTTATTATCAACAAATCCTGTTTTTTTAAAAAATCAGAACGTGACTCAAGTGAACATTTAATTTAGAAACGAAACTAAAGCTACAGGCGACCCAACCCGACGTGGGAAACTTTCCAGAATAACGTGTCGGCCGGCGTGTTTGCTGCAGCGCCGCCTTCACAGCAAACAGCTGAAGCAATAAGGCGAAGTCACACACGCCCAGTTCAAACAGTCGTCATGAGAAAACTGATTCCTCAGGTGAAGCCACGCAGCAAAGTCGATGACTAACAGTTTAAATCACACGCATCAGGAGTCAGATGTTGGAAAAGCAAACGGAGAAATGATCAGGATTTGGTCAAAGATGCTAAAGACGAAGCATTAAGACGCTGACAGGTGGAGAGAATATCACAAGAATAAGAAAAGAGGAGTCTGAAATGAAGACCAGGTCCAGAAAAATACTCGTCTCCTAAGTTAAAGAATTAAAACTGAGCTCAACCACTCAAACTAAAATCAGTTTATTTTGGTTTTTGTGTTTTTCACACTATAAAATATTCTACGTTTTGTTTTATTGTGACCTGCAGCTACGTGTGGTTTAAGAGAATCACTAGATGACTTCTGCTTCATCATTTAAAAAATATAAAAAAATAAGAGCTCCAAGGTGCTTCTTTTTTCTTGACATTTCTAAAGATGTGAAGTTTAAAGAATTATATTCTTGTCTTTAACCGTCTGAACTCCAAAATCGGGAGGTTTGAGAAGCATCTTTTCAAACAAATCGCCACAATTACACCATTTATTAGATCCAGAAACGGTAAAAACTGAAAGAATGATTAGATTTCCGTCTTTTCTTGAGCTGCTCTGGGTATAAGATTAAATGCAATATTTAATCAAATTTTAAAAAATTTCAAAAAATAAACCGTTTGCTCGAAACAGATTCTGTAAAAAACTAAAAATTCTGTGTTCCTCATCGCTACCGTGGAGCCTTTAGTGACTCCGCTACGACCCGTAGTGATTTGGCAAAAAATCTGAAATGTTTGGCTGAAGTGCAGGCAGTGTTCACACAGTACAGAGGAGACTGATTCAAATGTAAGAAGGTATTTTATGTTCAGAAATGTGGAGCCAGCGTTTGTTTTCTTCCAGCGTTGGTACCATCTGTGGACACTCCCTGCTTTTGTCAATTTTTGCAAAATTAGTAATAATTAATAATCAACAAAATTCTACTTTTGTACATTTTGGCTGCGTCGTGCTGCACTGGAGACATTTTTGAGTTGCTTCTCCTTCTAGTCCTGGTTGTTCTGTTTCCACGGAGCTGCAGGACTTTATGTTGGAGTGAAAAACGAGGCCACAGTGAAGAAAAATGAGAAATAAAAAAGCTGCTCGGAGTCCAGAAGGTTAGCGGGTGTTTTGGTTGACTGCTGAACTGTTGAACTGAGCGAGTGGATTTAATGATTTTATGATTCCAGGTTTTGTTTTACTTACTTGTCGCGTGTGCCGACGTAAACGGGGCGGCTGGAGGCTGGAACTGAGCAAACTGGGGCGGACTCCACCACGACGGATGGCCCATGTGGGAAAAGCCAGGCTTGGAGACGGGCTGGAGGAACGGCCGGATGGGGGGGCGACCTGGACTCTGGGATCTGGTCCGGTGTCTCTGCCTGGAAAACTCTGGTAGTTGAGAGACGGGGAACGGAGGGGACGGCTGTTAGCGTTTTATCGTGCTGTAAAGAGTCATGTGCTGCGAAACGCTCGTTAAATCCGGCTTTACAGTTTTTACCTTCGTGCGTGACAGACAGAAGATGTTCTGGAAAAACTTGCTTTGTTTTGTTCGACTTTCTTACAAATAGATTTGCAAAAGCAGATTTCTCCGTTCAGTCCAATCAAAGTGTTTAAAAGTAAACCAACAAAATGTCGTGTTAGAAGATGTTCCCGCGGTGACGACGGATAACTTCACAGCTCGTGTTTCACAGTTTAACAAAGACACGCAGCTTGTTTTAGGTGTAAAGCTTGATGCTCTTTAACATCAGATTAACAAGCAAAATGCTCAGACTTGTGTGTAAAAACTGTGGACGGTCTGAAAAATGTACCAAATCAAAGCTTAAAATGCTGATATTTCGTTTAAAAATTCACCAAAAATATAAAGTGTGCGCTGAATGGATTCTGTATAAAATAAAAAATTCTGCGGGTCCAGTCGTAACTCTAAAGCCTTCATTGACTCGGCTGCGATCGACGCTCACGTAATTAAAAATCAGAGACTTTTTCGGCTGAACTGCAGGCGGCGTGTCTCCAGAGCAGATGGACAGAAGTCGTGGAAGGTGAATACTACATCGTAATCATATTTGCTAATTATCATTGAGTATTCTATGATGTAATGTGTGCGCCATTTTTAACCGCCTTAATGAAAGGCTGTAGCCGGGTTGCATCACCTGACCTGAATGCTGTGTGCTGATTGGCTGAATGAATGTACGTGGTTTTGCTAACGAGGAGCAGCTCTGCCTTGAAAACAGCGTTTTTCTTTATAACAAACACATTTAAGCTTCAGAACGTGTTACGAACTGGAGAAAATCAGTTTGTTTTCACTTTGTTAATCTTTGCAAACTCTTCAGGTCTTCAGGTCTTTTAGGCGCCTGTGAGGCTGTACTTGGACGTTCTGATAAAATCGTTCCTTCGTAGAGATCAACATACCAGAATCAGGCGGGGGTCCAGTGAATCCGCCACTCGTAGGTCCACCTGTGAGTGGTAAACAGGTTGCAGTTATTCAGGTTTGACTCTCAGAACATTACAAAGCTGCCATCAGAAGGAGTTTCAGTTTCAGGGCTCACATGAGAACCAAAGGAGACAAACAACAGCCGCCCCTGAAGACCCCCCGGTGAAAGACACCAAACTCAGCATCTACGAGGGTCGATCGAAAAGCTACGAGTCTGTGCCGATAAAAATCTGCACCGGATGCGTTGTTAGTGTCCTGGTGCGGCGGCGCTCTGCTCCCGGCGCTCGGACGTCCTGTTTCGTAAACATCCGAGCACATTCTGCGATGGGCGCTAGCTTTCCTACACAACACGGCAGCTCGAGTTTCATTTTGGGGAAGAGGAAGAAGTCGGTTGTGTTGCTGCGGCCAAAAGCTCACGCTGTTAACCGGGTGCACCGCACACGGGAACATTCACAAGCCGCCACGCCGCCGTTTAGGTTGTCTGAGTGTTCTCCGGATGTCACAGCAGAACGCTGCTTCCACAGTCCAAACTGGGAGGACCAATTCTACCACTTCAAGGGTAAACAAACCAGTAAGCTCAACCCTGGTGCTCTTACTGTGAAAAGACGTCGTTCCTCCTCCTGGTGGGAGCTGCAGACCCTCCTCTGGTCCCCGTGGTGGTCCAGTCCGAGCTCCACAACCGCACACCAACCAACCAGTGGTCCAAACGTGTACGACACGGGTTGTGATGAAGCACACTGACAGCTGATGATTCCACTTTCCACTGTTTGCCTCGTTTATGATGCATTGTCATTAATTTGGCCACCGGGACTGTCCCTGTGGTCGGTCTATCGGTAATAAGCTCATTTCTCTTGGTTAAAGTGAAGTTGTTGCAGGTTTGATGTACGATCTGGTTCCCGAAGTTCATGTAAAATACTTTTTTTGAGGATTTCTTTGCGAGCTCATCGTGTTATCAGTGACTTTTCTCGCTTGGTTGTAAATTCATACGAAGCCTTTTCGGCGTCTCAGCTAACTATTTAACTAAATTAGTATTTTTTTTTGCTATTTCTGGAGCTTATTATGATGATTTCACTGTTTCCAAACCCCCTTTTCTCTTGAGAAACCAAACAACCTCGACCAGCCTGCGTCTCCAGAGTGACGTGCTGTTGTTCAGTTCTCTTTACATTCTGTTGTCTGTCTGCTGTCTCCTGTTTCTGTGTAATTTTTGGAGCTAATTACGACAAAGTTGGCTGCGAAGGACCTGATGTGAGTCTGTGTCACCAGAATAAACACCTGCCTGGTGCGTAATAGTACAAAGTGCATGCACCGTCCAGAGTCCCTGAACTTTTTGATCAACCTTTGTATGTGAAAAAAAATAAATAAATCGACGTTTGCTTTGCAGAACTCACCAGATGCAGCATTTCCAGGGTTCGGTTCTGCAACAGGATTGGACATTATTGGCTTCAGTATTCCTTCATAATACAGACATCCCAGTGAATGCACCTGCACACTCACCTGGTTTAAGTAAAGGCAGTCTGGCCTCCACAGGCCGCTGAAGGACCTCCATCAGATGTTCCTTCAGCGCAGCAGCGAACGCCTGAGCTGCCGTCACCTTCCTGGAGTCCAGGTTGACTCGAGGTACGTGAGGCTCAAACTTTGTGACTTTGGGTAAGTTGAATGAAGCCTGTGAGGAACAAGGAACAACAACCTTCACTCAGTTTTTTAAACGTTTCCTTCCAAGTCGCGCTAACGTGTGGCGGCGACGTCCACCTGCAGGAAAGCCGGGGTTTGGGATCCGCTCAGCAGACTGTTGATGTCTTCTCTGGCTTTCCTCATCTGCTCGCCGTTCTCCGTCAGCCTCTTGGTCAGGCCCTGAAGCTTCGTCCGTCCGGCCTCCAGCTCGCGGTCGACCTCGTGTTGGGCGTCGCGTTCGTCCTGAGCCAGCAGCTCCTGGATCTGCTGATACACAGCTGACAGCGCTGCCTTTCTTTTGGCTGCTGCGTCCTGAGTGAAAATACATCCAGAGACAAGTACGTAACTCGTTTTTTTTGTCTTCAGTCTTTTGCGTAGCGACTGACAGACATCTAACGGGTGAAGCTTACCGTGAGCTTGCTCTGAGCCTCGTCCAGCTGAACCAGGGCTGCTTCTGTCTTCTCCATCTTTGCGCTCAGCAAAACCAACTTGTCTCTGAAGCTGGACTGCGAAGACAAACACACGACACAGATTCTGCTTTTTATATTCCACCGTCTGTCTTATTCTGCTCACTGTTAAAATGATTTTGCTTTACGGTTCAACTCACGTCACATTTCCATTCAGCACATCTAAACAACACAAGAAACACGACTCAAACGTGTCCAACACGTTCTGATTTAAACATTAACCCCCTGAACCCCAAAGCCTGCCTCTGTTTGAGCTGTGCTGCATTTATTTTATTCATCAAGTGTTTTTATTTTGTTCTCTAATCTGATCTTTAACCTCTTAAGTCTGTTTCCATACTTGTCTCCTGGATGCTTTCTGTTTTTGCAGCTCTGATAAATTGCATCACTTTGGCCATTTTTTAAAAGAGAAACCCTCTGCGCCTCAAAACAAGCAAAGTTTGAAAAGCAAGTTCACATTTTAAGAATCTCCAAACTGACTAACACTAAGGATTGTTGGTTTTCATCGATCCCTGAGCTAATCGTGCAAAGATCTCGACCAAGCCCTGAGAAAAACATCTGGGTATTCAGCTCGCTGTGCCAGAAAAACGGCAAACTATCTGTTATTTACGCTGTCAGTTAATCTATTGATTTGTTTTCTCGCGTCATCATTTAGTTAAAAGGCCAGAAAACAGTGAAAAGCCCAAGACCACGTTCTGAAAATGTGTCGTTTTACACCAAAGATGTTAAAGTTAAATGTCATAGATGAAGGACACCTGAAAATATTCACATTTAGTATTCTAAAATCCTTTAAAAAAAAAAAAAAGTCAAACTGTTAAATCACTTATGAGAGTAGTTGGTGATTAAGTTAATCGTTAACAGCTAATTGAGTGACTGACTAATTGATGCAGGAAGTGTGTTCGGTTCTGTTGAGAAAAACAACCAGATTTCCTCAACAGCACTTTGTTCTTACGTCTCATTTAAGTCAAAAAAAATCGGACTCTGAACTGAATCAACGAGTCGACGGCTGACGGTGACAGTAAACTAATCTGTAAGTCGGCTTTACAGCGACGGAGCTACAAGCAGTAAACACAGAAGTGACAGCGTGAACAGCACAGAGGTGATGTTGGTGTGCTGCCAGGTGTCAGGCTGTGAAGGGAGTGTCCTGCTCCATTGTTCAGCTCCGCTGCAGCCCGTCCACCGCTTTCCTACAAAATGAAACTCAGGCCTTTGTTCTCTCAAAAGATCATTTGCTGGAATCTGAAACTAAAAGTGTCGAAGTTTCACTGATTCTTGGAAATGAAAGTGATCGTTGTTCAAGTAAAAGGGAAGAAAATCCACAAAGGTGCCACAAAAACATTAGAAACAGTGAAATCCTACAAAAGTAAACAGCTGCAAAAGAAATAACCATAATAATGATGTGAAAATAACCACAGATACCTGTTGAATAATATTTACACTTTAGGCTTGATTTTTAAGTTTAACATGTAAAATAATAATACGGATTTTATTTTACTAGTTATGTGTAAAAATCTATATAAAAAAAACAGTTGTAAGGAATGAATGACTTATTTATCCCTAATATGCATCATTTTCATTGTAAATAAGATCAAATATCTGCAAAATGATATTTTTTGTTGCTGCTTTGAATTCAGTAAAAACAAAAACGTGTTTGATGATTTTTTTAAAAATTTTAAATTCAATTTAACAAAACAAACAAACATGTAAAATACAGTTTAAAGCATTATTTATCATTCTTTAATCAGAAACCTTTTTTTAATACATACATAAAACTACAGTATTGTTTGCTGATTAAAACTAATTTTAAATGGGTGTTTTTGTTTTTTTGTTTTTTTTTACAGTAAATCATTTAAAGAAGGATTTACCACTTTGTACAGTTTTGCTCTGTTTTTAACTGAATATTATTTATTATCTCATTTATCAGTTTTAGAATCAGAATATAAACAGAGGCATATTTCTGTGATTTTAGCAGATGTTGTCTATAATTGATCAAATCAGAATTCGTTCACAAACATGTCACAGCTCCGGGCAGGAGGCTGCGGTACCTCCAGGAGGCTGCGCTGCTCCTCCGGGCTGCTGAAGGAACATCCTCGGTGGGCCTGCTGCAGACACAGGCTGCAGATGGGACGGCCGTGCTGGCTGCAGAACAGCTCCATCAGCTTGTGGTGGTCGGGGCAGATGCGCTCCGACAGGTCGCCCACAGGCTCGCTCAGCTGGTGGACTCGGAAGGTGGGGTTCTCCCGGTGAGGCCGCAGGTGCTCCTCGCAGAAGGAGGCCATGCAGGTGAGGCAGGTCTGCGCCGCCTCCGCCTCCATGCACGTGTCGCAGCGGATCTTGGGCTCCTTGGGCTCGGCCACGCTCGGCTCTTTCGTCGGGTCTCCGGTTCGGCTCCTGAAGGTCTCCACCACGGTGCTGAGGACCGTGTTCTTCTTCAGCTCCGGCTTGGTGGCGAACACGGTCCGGCACTGAGGGCAGCTGTAGGAGTCCTTCCAGGTGGCCAGCAGGCAGTCCTGGCAGAAGTTGTGTCCGCAGGGGATGGTGACCGGAGTGTAGAAGGGGCTCAGACAGATGCTGCAGGTCAGCTCTTCCTCCAGGCTGAGCAGAGAGAACGGAGCCTCCTCCATGGCTGCCATCGTCACACTGCAGGAGCCAGAAACCAAACTGAACTCACATCACCGCTCCCAACTCAGCTCATTTGCTTAATGCAACAGTGCACAGACGTCATCCCTCTAACAGCCCTCCTTTTACCTCCACCTACCTGTGCTGTCAGTGCAGGTAACTCCAGCCAAGTGGTGTGACTTCAGTCTGGCTGTGTGATAAGACTCATGAGCAGCGCTCCCGCCCTCTGAGGGCACTGCAGGTCAAACATGCTGGGCTCCATCATGTGAGCGCTGACAGTCATTTACCGATCATGCAAAGCGCTGATATGGAAACCCAACAGTGACAAGACAGTATAGACAAGTTTGTATTAAAGAAAATCTGCGTAATGAGCTTGAATGAACGTTTTCATGCTCTAATAGTGAGAATAAACCAGTTAACTGTTTAATGAACATAAATCCAACACGTCCTGCTGATTTCTGCAGCTCTTTAACTCTAAAACAAAACACTTGCATTGTGTTTTGTGGCTGTTATAAACTGAAGCTGTTAAGGTGTGACTTCCAGTGTAGACACTCAGGAGCCAATAGTCATCCAGCTCGTGTAGCTCCGCCCCCTCACTGCTACCAGGTGAACCATTCAGGTTTATCTACTCTCTACAGCTGCTCCTGCTAAACTCTAAAATGTCTGAGCCACGAGCAAAACTCACCGAATGTTCTGCTGTCGGCTGCACGAGTGAACACGAGCGTCTTCATGCACTCCCAGCACCTGAGGACACGAACACCCAGCAGATAAGTTTTATATTTAATAGTAGTTTCACCCCGACGACAGGACAATCCAAAGTGTTAGCAGGTTGGGTGGCTAATGTGGCTAACGTTAGTGTTTAGCTTTTCATTGCGGGACATTGGGAGATGGTGGAAACTTGAATTCAAACCACGACTGGGTTACCATCTGTTAGCTTCTCTCCTGCTCTAAGGTACCGTTCTCATCACATCGTCTGACAAACTCACCAAACGTGAGTTAAAAACAGCGAATTCAGAGACATTTTCACGTAAAATTAACCTCAAAAAGAAAGTTAGAGGCGGTAGAAAGTCCTCATTCACGTCAGTTTTAGCTGCCCAATCACAGACGCAGTGGGAGTCTTCTTCCTGAAGGGGGCGGAGCTAACAGCAGCTCAGGAGTTATCCAGTGATTCTGGCTGCATGTGAGATTTAGGGGCACCTTTAAAACGTGACTGCACTCTTATTTATTTCTTTGCTTTCCTGTACAGCAGACATTGAGTTTTGACTGAGAAACATCAGATTAAACGGCGACATCTTGAAGAATAAGTGTTGTTTTCAATGATCACTGAGGGCAACTTGGGCTGCAGGTGGATCAGTGGTTAGCACCGTGGCCTCACAGCTAGAAGGTCGCCGGTTGGCGTCCCGGTGAGGACACCCGGGATCTTCCTGCGTGGAGTCTCCATGTTCTCCCCGTGCAGTGTGGGTTCTCTCCGTGTTCTCCGGGTTCCTCCCACAGTCCAGAAACATGCTGAGGTTAATTGGTGATTGTAAATTGTCCGTAGGTGTGAATGTGAGTGTGCTTGGTTGTCTGTCTCTAAGTGTAGCCCTGTGATAGACTGGTTACCTGTCCAGGTGAACCTGCCTTCACCCTGAGTCAGCTGGGATAGACTCCGCCCCCCATGACCCTGGTGAGGATGAAGGTGTAGAGATGATGGATGGATGGACTGAGGGCAACTTTAAAAGGTCAGTAATAGTGGTTACTCCTAAAGAAGACAGCGATGGAGGTTTGTGTTGTCGTCTGCTTCACTGCATGTAGACTTCAGATAGAAACTTGTGATGCAGCTTTCTCCTCTTCCTCAGTTACCGTTTTTAAAACATCAGCCCTTGGAGAAACAGTGACCTCTGGGCAGCAACGTACCACGATGGAAACGTAAAGGTTTTGAAGGTTTGCAGGCCTGCTTTTTTAATTCTGAATTAGCGATTTTAGCGACCGTTCTCGCTTCCCTGCAGGCAAATGTTGCACCAGATCAACTCCACCATCACTGTTTTGAGTGAACACAGTCGCTTAGGTTCAGAAATACAAACAGAATATTTTCTTTCTCTAGTAGCAGGATGATGAGGTGCTGTAGAGTGGTCGGACTGCACCGTCACATCACTCATGGCTTCTTAAAATAAATCAATAACAAAAGACAAACGTCTGAGGCAGGAAAGCTTTTATTGATTGAACAATAAACGGTTAATTTCTCAACAAACAGCTCATGATTAAACCAGTAATACAGTAGATATGGCATAAAATGCTAACTAGATCTTTTGCATGTGCCCATTTCCCCAACAGGTAATATTGAGACGTCACACAGGGGTCGGTTTGATATGAACTTCTGACGACGTACAGTTTAAGGAAAAGCCAGTGCATCGAATAACATTGAAGGCAAAGAAGAAAGAACTAAAATTCAGGTGAGGCAACAAACACAAACCTTCCTGAATTCTGCTACAAACAACGTGTGGATAAGACTCGGCAGTGAGATTAAACAGGCGTCACTGTGGCGCTGAAGACCTCTGAATAGATTCAAAAAGCTTTCCGTCTCCATTGTGATGACGTGCAACGGCACAGGAGTGATTTCACCAAACAGGTTCACACTCGGTACAGGACCATCAAAACCTGAGAATGAAGCTCCGCACCTGAACTGCTTCGGTAGAAACCCCCTGCAGAGATGTGTTTACTGCAGAACTTCCTCTCGCTCATCACTGAGGTCACTCTGGATAACCGCTTTAAAACAGTGAAGTTAGCAGAACCCGGCTGATGCTGGATGTTTGGGGCCGATATGAAATTCTGATGCTGTATATATATACACACATCGGCTAACATCGTGCACACACGTGTGCTAGACTTGTATTTAAAAGGGGAAATGATTGGGTCAGTGTTGTTAACCTTCCAGCGATGTATCTCACAAACTAGCCAAAGACGAAGCTCGACTCCGCACCTCACTCTGCTGCATGTGCTGCAGACGGTGCAGAGTGGAGTCAGAGCTGTTCTCCTGGACAAACCAAGACTCCATGTCTGAATTACCCCAAACAACTCCTCCTGGATTACAGAAGACAGTTTTTAATATCTGACCACATGTACGTCAATCCAGGCCAATATTGGCGACCAGTATCGGCCATCGGTCGAATGCTAGAAGTTAGCACGTAGCCTAACTTGGTCACAAAGAACAAATAGAACCGCGACCAAACGGCTAACTCCATCAGGACACCTGTGTAGTTTGTAACTTCCCAACTTTCCTGCAAAATGTGCAAACTTTAAATCGTATGCAACCACTTCAGCACCCGACGGACGGCAGCGACGGCACGTCGTAGCGGCATTGGAGCCACATCGGAGCTACAATGGAGTCACATCGGAGCCACATCGGAGCTTCAGCGACACATTTTCCAGGTAAATCTGTACCACACAACAAGTAATTATACCTGCCTTCCACGCCACGAAAAGGCAGCAGTGCTAAGGGAAGGCTTGTTGGTTCAACGCGTCAACCATCGATAAAACAGTATCGCGTTTTATCTCGTTCGTTTGTGAGGCGAACAATGGAGGTACAACATCCCAGGTTTAACTCTGTCCAAGAAGCATCGCTGCATGTCGTCCTCTCTAAATCCACCAAAACCTCCACAAAATAACAGAACAGACCGTCAGAACACCACAGAACCAGAGTCTATACGACTTCTGTTCCCATCAAACGAACCAGACAAAGGAGTGAAGGAGTGAGCAATCAGGACGTTCACTAATCGCAGTAGAACGTCCACATGAACACAAGTCCCATCACAGAGGTATCACAGAAACAAACACGTTTCTGGCCAATTGCAATCATGTAGGAACTATTTCTTTCGTAACAAATCCCCTCCAAACAGAAGACGTGAAACTTCCAGGATCAGCAAACCAACCAGAATTTTTTTTTTTAAAATCCCTTTCTGTTTGCAGTCCAGGCAGATTTTCTCATTCTGAATCTACTGCTGGAGGGTTTTTAGGTTTCAGGTCACCAGAAATAAATCTCACGTAGAAACAGTGATTTTCAGTGAACCAGTCCAGAAACTTTCCACACTGATAAATTCACTTCTTCATCCAAATGCGTTCACTGTGATAAATAATCTGCACGGGTAAGACAGAAACATCCTGCCGCACACACGTCTAATCAGTGTACAGCGTCAGAGCACAAAATAAACCCAGACAGCTGAAACAAGCTACTTCCTGTCAGCGTATCGTGTTGTTGTTTATTCCTGCTTCCTGCAAACAAGCTTTAAAAACTGATTTTGTCTTTAAATGCTCGTCATAAAGCGACCGGAACACGTAAGTGCATCACAGTCGCTTGTTGTGGTGTTTCTGCTGTATTTTTTCCAGCTTCCAACAAGATACCAAGAAGAGCTGATGACGCCAGCTGTGCCTCAGCGACGCCTCAATCTGGAATATTCTCAGACTGGACTCTGGTGCTCTTGATTTGAAGCAGATCTAATAGAAGCAGACTAAACCGGCTTTAACATGAGGGAGAATCATTGCTTCACCTGCCGCCAGCACAAAATGCACAGAAAACGTTGGTTTTCCTCTTTTACAAGTGATCAAACAGCCAGCTGGGGGTGTTCTAGCCAATGCAGGTTTTAATTTTTCCTCTTCCAAACATTGAAAACTGGCTTTTTAACGAGCTGCAATGTGAAACAAGGCCGATAACTCTAACTTGCACGGTTCTCGTGAGAACGTCAGTCTGATGGAAGGTCATTTACTCCGTTTTGAAACTTCCCGGGATGCACAAAGTTTGCTTTTTTGGTAAATTATTAACAAAATGCGAAGTTTGTCGGCACGCAGACTTCACATGTGCACGGCAACATGAGAGACACACATGGAGGAAATTAAAGATTTGGTTGCAAAATGAAACTCAACATGAAAATAGTTTGTCTACCGAAAAGGGAAAAAAAGGCTAATGGGTCTAAAGCATCCTGAAGTTGCTGCTGCTAAACAAGGCAACACAACTGATTAGGTTGAGTCCTGAAACCAGCGCCACAGAGCTCAGCATGACGAGTACAAAGTCACATCTGAATGCTATCTAAAGCAAAAAGCTGATTTTCCAGTGTTACACCACGCTTTTTATTTTAAGATAATTTTATATTTTTGACACTTAATCTAATACAACAATGATATCTTTCTAAAGGAGTTACTTCATGTCGATCGTGCAGCCCTACTTCATAACTAGCTTAGCATTCTTTCATATTGTTAACATTAGCAATGAAAGCAGAAGGCTGACTACGTGAATCTACTTATGCCTGCAGCTTGCACAAAGTGATGGAAGAACCGCTTGAGAAAATCCAGAAAGCTGGATAGACGGCTTCGGCGAAGGGGAACACGAAGGTGTGGAAGGGATACGCCCGGTCGGCCACGTTGTAGAAGGTGGCCGCGCCCTGCTCGCAATCCAACAGGATGCCGACGCGCTTCGGGTTGGGATTTGCCAGCACGGTCTCGCTGCTGTTGTGCCAGGCCGACAGCTTGACGTTGAACCACTCGACGCACCACGACTGGTTGTTGCGGCCCAGTCGGCTGGTGGGGCCCTTGCGGTCGATGGTGCCGTAGGCGAGGCCGATGCCGATGAAGTTGTTGCTGCTCAGCCGGACCTCCCAGTAGTGGCGCCCGCAGGAGAAGCCCTTGGAGGCGAGGACCTGGGAGCAGACGGCGAAGCGACTGGGGCAGTCGGGGTAGTTGTTGTGCTCGTCCGACACAGAGGCCTTGGTGAAGCCGTCGCTCAGCGTGATGCGTTTGTGGGCCGTCCTCGGATCCAGGGTGAGCACGGTGCCGTCTGGAGGGAACACGTGAAAGAAAGCTCACATCAACAACGGAGGCATGCAGATGATCAGGTTAGCTGCAGGTATGTTTATCTGCTGCATGACTTCACACGTTCCACTGACGGGACATTTTAGTTTCCTCATTCCACTGTCTGCTTCTACTGAAGTACGTTTATGTGTTTACTAGTCACTTATTCTCATTTATTTGTTTTGTGGTGGTGGTCACTTTACTTTCTGCTTGCTACTGTAGCAACAGAATTTCCTCTTGGGGATCAATAAAGTTTCTATTCTATTCTATGTTGAGCCTGAAGTCAGAGTTTTCAGGGTTCTGTTTAATGTGCTAGATTGCCACGGTAACTGATACCACACAGCTAGATCACCACGGTAACTGATGCTGCACAGCTAGATCGCCACGGTAACTGATGCTGCACAGCTAGATCGCCACGGTAACTGATGCTGCACAGCTAGATCGCCACGGTAACTGATACCACACAGCTAGATCACCACGGTAACTGATGCCGCACAGCTAGATCACCACGGTAACGGATACCACACAGCTAGATCGCCATGGTAACTGATACCACACAGCTAGATCGCCACGGTAACTGATGCTGCACAGCTAACCTGAATATTAAGGATTGAAAAATGGCAACAAAAAAAAAAACAACAAACGTAACCGCTTCAACCTCCAGTCCTTGTATTTTTACAAACGGTAAGTTATTTATTTACAACATTTGACCGCAAAAGTGCATCTTCACAATATTAGAAATCCACTAAAATAGGATTATTTTACAGATATTGGTCGTTATTTTCGTTGGCTTTACTGTTTTAAACATGATGGTATTCCACCGTTTTCTCCTGCACCCTTGCTGCCAGGTTTTCAGTTTTGTGCTTTAGCTTTTTGTTTACAGTGTATGCTAAAGTCTGTTTAGTTTTTACTGACGAAAACTACTAAAATTTGATTAAAAGAGCTGCACTTACATTTCAGAAGCTCGTTTCTCTTCTCAGCAGAACTTATGTTGAGGGGAACGTCCACAGTTTCTGTAACGGGAGAAGACAAAACCAATCTGTGAACAAGGTGAGAGGAAACAGATGAAAAGAGGAGTTCCACTGATTCAGGAACTCATCGCAGGTCCCTTTTTCTGCCCAAAACACTCGCACAGGTTCATATCGTCCTAAAGCAGCTTCTCAAGTTAGTGCAGCGAAAAACATCTTATTCAGCCAAATCTGCATCCAACCAAATGTAAAATGTGGCCACAACCTTCCCTTCTGTTGATTCAGCAAATAATGTCCAGAAATGTCCAGTTACTGTTTTAGATGTAAAATGTCGTCAGGTTTGTTATTTAAGCTCCAGTGGTGACAAACAGCCTCATCATGTGCTCATATGTAGAACGTGTCGTGCTTGTGCTGCTCCAGAGGGACGAAATGATGTCACATGAACGAGAAGTGAAGGTTGGGTTTTTTAAGAACGATAAAACTCTGGGTATGTGGTGTCTCAGCCTGGCGTCTACCTGGTTTGGGCTCAGGAGCAGGATTTCGGCCTCTGGATTTGTCTTTCCCAACGTCCAACAGGTTCTCCATCGACCGGGCAAAATTCTTGTTTCCCGTCTTGTCGCTGGTGGACTGGGAATCCTTCTTGTTTTCTGAGGAGCAGATAGAGGGCAGTTAAATGTGCTCCTGTCACATTTCTGTCAGTTAGAACGACACAAATCACATGAAAAGGTAAAAACAGGAGTTGGATTTTTCTGAATGTTTATTTATTCACATAGACAGAAATTGGATTTATCCACTGTCGATATTTTATTACTGGCGTCTCTAATTAGTTTCCCTGCTATCGGCTCTGTGTTCATGACCCTCAAGCACCTTCAGAAAGCTGAACATCTCCCGACTGAGGCCTGTAGGTGGCCTCGTTTCAGAGGTTCAGAGGATTAAATGTTAAAAAAGAAGCAACAATCAGAAGTAAACTTAAAAAAAAAACATTTCTGCATGGACTTGATCAGGTTTTACACCCGACAACTTTCTTTATATTTTGAGTCAGACGATGCTGATTGGTCACCTGAGGACTGTGACATCATCATCCTTACAGGCCACGCCCACTTTAAACCAGCAGAGAAGGAGAGCTGAGCTGAGTGGTGTTGAAGCTCCCTGCTGATGTTTACACGCTGATTAAAAGCATTTAGTAGAAATCAGGATTTCAGATGTGTTGCACTGCAGTCAAATTAGTTTCAGTACAACAGTAGAATAAACAAAGCTTCATTTTCTTACTTGCAGGCTTCTTCTTCTGGCCCGGTTTGGGTTGAGGACCGGGGTTTTGGACCGGCGGTGGCATTCTGTTTGGACCCGGAAACCACTGAGGCTCTGAAAAGGCAACAGGTAAAATACATACACATTTACATCATCGTTCTGAACTTAGATTAATGGTAGAAAACAAGCCGGACAGGTGGACGTACCCATAGTCGGGTACATTCCAAAGTTCACAGGTGTGAATCCAGAAGGAAACGTTGGTCCTGAGAACAGGCCACATGGTGTTAGTGTCTCGTTACCCGACGTTCATCACGTCTCAAATCATCACAATCATCACAGTTTAATCAGAAACATATTGGCTTTGGTTTCCATGACAGATATTTCTTTCTTATTAACGTTTATTGTTATGTTTTTAAAGATTGTTTTTCTTTTTTTAAAATCGCTCGTCGTCCCACTCGAGGCAAATTTAGTCATTTTTTTCACAAATTGCAACTTCAATCGCTCCAGAACAATTAAAAATAAATAAAACAATGTGACTGTTATTTCTCATCACGTCATCGATGCAGAATCTGGAACAATAAACAAATAATCTGAGATGTGGGAGAGCTGAAATATTTAAAGGAAGAAGCCTGAGTGAAAAGTCCCGTCTTTAAACTCACATTTACAATAAAATTAAAGATATATTTTTATTATATTTTGGATTAATCTGTCCAACAATATCTCTGGTTTTGTGGTACGACACTCATCACGGTGACATGAAGCTTTATGTGGTTCAGAAAATATCACCAGTGGACGTCTGCATTATGACTTTTTTTAGCAACGTGAGCTTTATTATTTTTTTTTTTGTATTTCAACTCACTGAAATCAAATGTATTTGATCTACTTGCCCAGTTTAACAGATCCAGAGTCCATGACACGATGAGAAACAACAGGAAGAATTTCAGGTTTTTATGTTTAATATTTTCTGAGACATTGTCGTCAAAATCGTGCTAAAAGTGGGTCGACGGCAACTTTCAAAAAAAAAAAAAAAAACGCACTTTATATATCGAGTTTAATTTCACAGATAATCGTTTTAAAGGTTTCAAGCAAATCAGAGACGGAGTGACGACAAACAGCTACTCTAATTAGTCCTGTTAGTTTAATTAGTTAATTCATTAAGCAGCACCAATTCCCAGACAAAAGGTCCGATTGGATTTCAGTTTCCATCAATTGTCAGAACAACTCACCGGGTGCACACGGGCCGGGGGAAACCTCTGCAACAGAATCGGACAGAGTTGGCGTCTCTGGTCTAAAAGCGTCTTTAACTGTAAAACCCAACGATTAAAAAATAAAAAACACGTACGTTCAGCGGCTTTGACGAGCGGCAGCCGGCTCTCCACGGGCGGCTTGAGCATCTCCGTCAGATGGTCCTTCAGGGCGGCGGAGAAGGCCTGAGCCGCCAACACCTTCTTGGAGTCCAGGCTGAGTCGAGGGCTGTAGGGCTCGAACTTCACGGCGTCGGGGAGGTTGAAGGAAGCCTGCGAGGGTCACACCAGCACTTTTCATACAGACAGAACAATACGATAAAACGACACAAAGTGAAGATATCAGTAAAGAACCCCAAGGAACCAGAACTGAGGAGCCGTCCTGTGTAACACGGGCCATGAGGAAACACCAGATGATAAAATAAGACACCTATCAGTACAAGAGACAGAAATACAGTCCATCATCCGATGAAATGATAAAAAAACAAAGTAATGAACAGTGAATGTGAATAAACAGAGAACTCGACACATAAATTCAGTTAAAAAAATAGAGTCATGAATAAATAAAATCTATCAAATCAAACAGAAGCCCGACTAAAAAGCTGCGTCTTGACTTTGCTGGTATAAATATCAACCCTCTCAGGTCTTGTTGTTCTGGCTTTAGGTTTAATTCATTCTAACGCCAGCTCTCCTTCTGGTCGTAGAACTCGAGCTGCCGAGTTCTGAAGATGTTGGAGTGGAGTTATGGTCTTCTCTGGGAGGTCGGATAGGAGTCGACTCGGCGCGCCATAAAGGCATCTGTTAGTGTCTCTGCAGTGGAGAGGTTAATTAATGCTATTTCACCTCCAAATAGACCTGCAGCAGAGCCTCGTGATGCGTTTCTCAGTCTCAGTTTCTCGCTGGCAGCGAATAAAATCACTGGTGAACACGTGAGGAGGAAACCAGTCGGACTCGACGCAGGTTTTATTCGCCTACTTTATCTAATGTGCACCAAAGTGAGAGGATTCCTTGAAGATTTTCATTTATGTTTTTCATTGTCGTGCTGACACAAAACGATCACGTCTGGACCGTGATAACCAGGCTGGAGTATCAATCGTATCAATAACTGATAATACTGACTGAACACTTTATGGCGGCGGGCCTTCCAGCTCGGTATCGAGCTGCCCTACTTTACAACCACCTTTCCCCTCGTACCGAACACAACAAATGATTGACCAGCTCTGCATAAATGTTAGCTTTGGCTGAACGCTGCAGAAGGATCTCTGAGCAGATTCAGGTGGCGCCGGTGACGCCAGCCGTCTTACCTGCAGGAAGGCCAGGCTCCTGGACTGGCCCAGCAGGTCGTGGATGTCGTTTTTGGCCTTGTTCATGTTGTCGATGTTATCGGTGAACTTCTTCACGAGGACCCGGACTTTGGTGTGGCCGCTCTCCACCTCCTGGTCCACGGCGTTCAGAGCATCCTGCTCCTCTCGGGCCAACATGGTCCGGATCTGCTGGTACTCGGCCGCCAACGTTTGCTTCCTCTTGGACGCCGAGTCCTGAGGAGAACCGGGACAGCATCCAGATGTTAGCTCAGGAACGGGACGCTCAGATTGTTCACCGAGTTCAGAAAATCCAGTTCCTGTGGGGCTGCTGCTGTAGAAAAACTGTAAATGTGTGTCTGTCGGGAGATTTATCAACGCTTAAATACATCAAAAGATGAAAAGTCTGAGTGTTTGGCTTTAAGTGCTGGAAATACAGAACCAGCTACAGGTCAAGCAGGCCTCACTTTGTCTTTTCACACATGACTTGCTGTCCTGAGAGACTCGTATCTGTAACTTGAGGGTTTCTTTGCCCTGAGCTCAGGCTCACAGGCTCACAGGCTCACAGGCTCGTTGCCGCTCTGCTGCTCTTTGCCTCAGTAGTTACAGGTGGCGCTATCCTCCAGAGTCTCCACACTGTCCGGTTAAATTTGCTGAGTTTGTTTTCATATCGCAGCGTATTGAGCAGCTCTACTGACAACACAACGTATTATGATTTAAAATCAAAAAAGGACTCATTTCTGTCTCTATTCAGACGTCTTTTTCTTCCTCCAATGCAGCGTTTTTTTACCCTTTTGCTTGAATAACAGTGAAACTCACCTTCAGCTTGTTCTGCATGTCGGTCATCTGAGATATCACCGTCTGGTTGGCCGTGATCTTCCCGTCCAGTAAAGTCAACTTGCTTCTGAGGTCGGACTGCAGACAGAGAAACAAGATGAGTTCAGTCACTGACACGGATCAGAGTCACGATTCATGACTGACTTTGGGTTGAATCCAGTTGTCAGGTCTGTTAACAGTCACATCTTTAAAAAACATGAAAAAAAAAACCTTCACAAGGTCTAAAAAATGGTTTTAAATGAAAAAGTCTGCAGGCTGAGTGAGAAAATCTCAAGAAGGAAATAATAGTCCCAATCAGTACTTGCAGCAATTTATCTGTCCCAGCTCGCCCAGTTTAACTGGACAACCAAACCAGTACTCCATGTGTAAACTGCTAACTGGTGCAAACTTGTGTTGAATGTTTAGAACGTTTTATTTCCGTCCTGTGAGCGACACAAACAGCTCTGAGCTCACGTTCAGGTGCTGGATTCACATCTTTGTTGAAGGTCCCACATTCTGCCTCTTCTCAGCCATTTCATGAAAGTCTGACGCGTCCACATAAAGTGTTGTTCAGCTCAAAATACCACAAACATGATTCACTTCACCTCCACTTCTGGCTTTAGTCCCGTTCTAACCTGTAGCTGCTGCTGGCCCCGCCCCCTTCAGGAAGAAGACTCCCTCTGCGTTGTGATTGCTCCAATATGCACACTTTTATAGAAGTGCCACTGAAAAGATGATCAAATGCAGCATGCCGAAAACACCAGGGTGTCCCACCACATCCGGTTCTGGCTGTTCTGACCCACAATCCTTTGCACAGTCGCGTCACACGGCTTGTAGTGCTTCGATTTCAAAGCATAAAGACAAACCGTTTGAAACGACAGAGCTCAACGTTTAAGGCATAATAATATTTATAAATCTACAGTCCACCAGGTTTTTGTTTTTTTTTAATTTCTCGAGCTGCTAAACGTCTGAGCCACGAGCAAAACTCACCAAATGTTGGCAGCAAGACTGAACACAAGAGTCTTCATGCACTCCCTGCATGTGAAGAACTGAACACTCTGTTCTTTTTTAATGTGATGTCACAGGCTAATGTGGCTAACGTTAGCGGTATCTTTCACGGTATACCCGCTGGTGAGAACTAAACCAGTCATGGAGGACTGGGTGGGTTATTGTGTTCTAGCGCCTCCTGTCGTGCTTCATCCTAAACTCAGCTGCTGTTCACATCCGTTAGCTTCTCTCCGGCTCTCTGTGCTACAGCTGAATTAAAAAGAAAAAAAAGCTGTTCTCATTGACATGTTGTTCTGTTTCTGTTGACTGAGACCGTCCAGACTACATGGTACCTCATCGCTCCTGCTGCTGCTCCGCTGAGTTCAAGACTACGGATGTTCTGAGATATTTCCACTAAAGCGATCGCTCAGACAGAACCTTAGCTTCGGTGTCGACTGTTTTGGCTCCTCGCTGTTTGGGTCTGTGGATGTATTTAAAGCTGAAACAGTCCATTTAAACTGGACTCGAACCAGAAGCTTTGGAAGGCTGCTGTCATTCAGGTGCCTCGGTCCCTCTACAACACGAAGCCTGACGCCAGACATGAATGCAGGAGATGTAAGCTGAAGTTACCTTTGAACAGGAGCTGATGCCACGCGGGTTCAGATCAGCAGCTGGCGTTGCATTGAGAGTCTTTTGTGACGGGTGTGGTGCCGCCTTAATCAAAGCTTCGTGGCTCTGTTATCTAACTTCCCTTCACCTATAAACTCATAAGTGATGATTCATCCTGACTGCGGCGTTACAGCATCACACTCAGCAGTCTCCTCGGCTCACCTGCCACCTTTAACCCACTACTTGTATTTCTCAAATGCAAACTAGCAGAAACGATTTAAACTGAGCCGATGTGGAGCTGTGAATGGACAGATGATCAAATGACAAATGAACCTTCTCCACAGCTGTAACACTGACGGACACATTCTAGGACACGTTTGTTGAGGACTAAACCCGGCAGGCGACCTCTGACCTCCAGGAGGCTGCGCTGCTCCTCCGGGCTGCTGAAGGAACATCCTCGGTGGGCCTGCTGCAGACACAGGCTGCAGATGGGACGGCCGTGCTGGCTGCAGAACAGCTCCATCAGCTTGTGGTGGTCGGGGCAGATGCGCTCCGACAGGTCGCCCACAGGCTCGCTCAGCTGGTGGACTCGGAAGGTGGGGTTCTCCCGGTGAGGCCGCAGGTGCTCCTCGCAGAAGGAGGCCATGCAGGTGAGGCAGGTCTGCGCCGCCTCCGCCTCCATGCACGTGTCGCAGCGGATCTTGGGCTCCTTGGGCTCGGCCACGCTCGGCTCTTTCGTCGGGTCTCCGGTTCGGCTCCTGAAGGTCTCCACCACGCTGCTGAGGACCGTGTTCTTCTTCAGCTCCGGCTTGGTGGCGAACACGGTCCGGCACTGAGGGCAGCTGTAGGAGTCCTTCCAGGTGGCCAGCAGGCAGTCCTGGCAGAAGTTGTGTCCGCAGGGGATGGTGACCGGAGTGTAGAAGGGGCTCAGACAGATGCTGCAGGTCAGCTCTTCCTCCAGGCTGAGCAGAGAGAACGGAGCCTCCTCCATGGCTGCCATCGTCACACTGCAGGAGCCAGAAACGAAACCTAAGTCAAGAAAACGAAAGTAAACAGGTCGGTTTCTTATTCCTTCTACGGCGACAGGAATCAATGAGATCGACGAGTTTGTCCTTAATTCTAAGACTTTTTTTATTTTTCAAACCGATAAAAACGGTTCCAGTAAACTTTAGACACGCTGAGCTGAAGGTGGAATCTGACGGTGACGCGCGAACACAGACTGTGTCCGAGCGACAGTTTCACAAACATTCACACCCACAAATTTAAAGTACACGAAGCAGAAAAGGTTGAATCTGTGTTAAACGTCCAAACTGGGTCTGAACAGTACCTTTGATCCTCGGCTTGCAGGAGGCGCAGCGGAGCTCGGGCAGCTGTGAGGCGCGTCGGCGCTGCGCACTCACCTCATATCAACTCCAGAGTCCTCCTCAGTCCCTCCCAGTCTGTGCGTGACTCACATGCACGCACACGCACACACGCACACCGTCGCAGCATTATGAGCGACTACATGAGCGTCCTGAGGCACATTTGAACGTTTTCTTTATCCTGGAGAGTTTTTACGCACCGAGGCAGGTTTTTTTTTTTTTTTTTTAATGCACATTAAAGCTTGAAGCTGTTTAAACAACATCTCAGGAACTATAACATATAAAAGCCTGACATTGTCACTGTTGTTTCTCATCACGCCACTGATTCAGAATCTGTAATATTGTTCATATTGTACATTATATACATACATTTGTGAGCTGAAGTTAAGAAAAAAAAGTCAAGTAGTCACATTTTATGATCCACATGTAGCTGCATGTCACAATAATACAAAACAGAGCACACAGAATGCTTTATGATATGAAATACGTACAAAGAATGATCACTAAAACTCGTATGTTCCTTGTTTATAACTGATTGTATGTCAAATTGTACCATTAAAACAATATTGCAGATTAAGGAGGATTAAGCGGTCTATGGCTGGATGGATGGATGGATGGATGGATGGATGGATGGCTGGACAGATGGATGGATGTTGCAGATTCTGATTTAACGGCATGTTGAGAAATAACAGTGAAGATTTCAGGTGTTTATCTTTATTAGTTCCTGAGATATTGTCGTTTTAAAAAGGTTCTGACATTTTTTTTTAATCTCAGAAAGTATTTGATATATGAAGCTAGAATTTCACAAATGCAGGAACCATTTTAAATGTCCATAGTTTCATAGTTTATGAATAACCTGACTCATTTAGAATGAAAGTTAGGGCCCAGGATATGAAAAGTTAACAAATCCAAGAATTCCCTGAATCCCATGAGTCTGTTCTGTAATTTCATTTAATTTAAAAAAATAAAATCAATATTTCCCAACGTGGCCGAGCCGTCCACTGATAATATGTGCTGCAGTTAAACTTTTCTTGACTTTATGTTGTGACGGTTCCTCCACAGTGAAGCTTCAGTATTTGATAATGATGATATTAATAACAATAACAATAATAATAATCGTTGAGGCATTCCAGTTCACACTTCAGAGGACCTCGATCAGCTTTAATGAATGTATTTGCGATAATTTAAATGACAACAAACTAAACACTAAACTAAATGCTAATTTAAACTATTCACGCTGATGGCTTCAGATCATTGGATGGTTTATTGTATGTTAGTGATTCATTTTCATAATTTATGTGTTTTCATGGAACATCTTGATAATTAAAAAGCTCAAATAAATGTATGGAACACAACAGCAGCGTCGTGGAAGAGCAGCTTCTGATGATGATTCTGGATTAACACCTTTTCTTTTCACTGTTGTTGCCTTTACAATGACGCAGCACAGAAAAGACAAGAGAAGCTGTTTTTATTCAGAGGTTTCCGAGTCAAACGGGTCACAACAGAAGCAGAAATGCATGTTCACCTCGGTTCAGGAAGCAAACGTGACTGCAGCTTCCTCATGAGCTCCGTGTGTGCATCTATACAAAGACTGTGAAGCTAAAACCTTGATTTCTCTGCTGCGGTTCAGTTGCTGTTGATTTGCGGCTTGTCGGGATGCTGGACGTTGTTTTGGCTGCTGAGCTGCTGCAGGTCCCTCAGCAGGCCTGCAAACTGCTCCTCCTGGAGGTGAAAACAGGAAATAACGCGTCAGCCGCAGACGAGATTCAACAAACTCAGTTTACTCTCGAAATTATTACTTTTATGAGCTCAAAGCTGCTTCACGTCAAACTGCTCTGAACCCAAGAACCCAGCAGCAGGTTGGGAAGGTGTTTAATCTTTAAAAAAAATGATTAAAATTCACCTTTTATCAGAGCCAGACAGTCATAACAGGAAGACTCATTGGATGATCGACTGAATCGACCAAATCACAGGTTAAAGTTCCTCTAGTTCATCAAAACCACTTTATTCTATAAAATCCTTCCATAATAAGCCACCGCTTGCCATCAGGAGCAGAATGATTCCAACATGAAGACAACATGGAGGGAAGTTGAACACCAGCAGATGATGCTTCCATCTCCTCTGGTCCTAAAGTCCATCAGCCTGCCCATGATTCCAGATCCAGCTGTTACCTGTGCCCACCATTTCTACTAACGTATGAACATTTTGAACAAGTCCTGAATTTAGGAGGTCTTAAGCAAAAGCTTGATTCTCGATTTCCAGGATTCGCTGCGTTCTCTCCGTTCACCAGAAGCTCCTGAACATCTCCTGAACATGTGGAGACTCCAGGACGTGTACTTGAAGACGTATGAAAGTGGCTCAACTTCCAACTCGTGAGAGATTTATTGATTGATTGATTTTTATTGGGTGGAAAATGATGAAAATGTTGGAATTTCAGCTTAAAAATGGGCAGATGTCAGTTTGAGATGCCAAAGATCCTAGAAGAGACTCTGAGGTGGTCGAGGAAAAGAAAATGTCTGTAAAAGAAAAACAAATTCTGTGCTCCAGACTCCAAACCATGACGTCATTAGTGAGTCAGCTGCAGCCACATGAAGAGAATTCAGGGAGTTTTTGGCTGAAATGCAGCGTTTACACAAAGTAGACAGAAGACTAGACACAAACTAAAAATAACTAAATATCTGCTGGATATAGAGTCAACATTTTGTCCAGAATTGGTGAAACCTGTGAGTCCGAAACATGTGGTTGATTCTGGGTTTTTGTTTTATTTTTTTTAATAATTATTGTAAATAAATATGTCAACTCATTCTTAGGATTTCTGTCATTCAGCACTTCTCTCTCCTTCTTGTCCTGCTTGTTCTGTTTCCAAACAAGTGCAGGACTTCATGTTGCAGAGAAAAATGAGTTCAGAGGGTTTAAAGTGAAGTGTCTCATTCATCTATCACGCATCAATAAACTACGTTGAGTTTGGAGTCCTTTCATGTTAAAGCAGCAGAAGTTGCCCCAAAAATCTCCCTCAGCTACCAGCTTGTTTGTACTTTTTGAATAACTTCACCAAAGTTGTACGAACACTTTTACTTTTAGTCCTTCTGTTTTTTTCTTACCAGGACGTTCATCCTCTCGGCGGCTGCAATCGCGACACTCAGCTTCCTCTCGTCTTCCTCCCGCTCCTCCTCGATCACGCCGAGCCTGAGACGCAGGAAGTAAGCAAAACGTTAAAAACGCTGGAAAACTGTCCCGCACCAAAATGAAATAAAATGAAAATATGGTCAAATATCTGTCAAAATAATACGATTTAAAACTGTTTAACTACAATAAAACTCTGTAATTTTATAGTCGAATATTGTAAAAAAGCACATTATGATTATTTTAGATGTTGGCCTGTTGTTTGTACAGTCAATGTGTAAATTGTTCTTTTTTTTCTGTGATTTTACCAGTTTTTATCTGTAATTTAATCAAAATCTGTAAAATAATATTTTTTGCAGATTTAAATACAGTAAAAAAAAAAATTTTTTTAAAACAGTAATTTTATGATCAAACAAGTACACACTGCTATTTGTAAAAATACAGATTTTTTTTTAAACAATTTTTTTTGTCATTTAACAAGACGGGGTAAATCTATACAATAACACTTGTGAATAAAATGTCAAATAACGCCAAATATCTGTGACATATTTTGTTGCTGATGTAATTACAGTAGAAATAGTGTTTTTTACTGTCAAACAATATAAATTACAGGTGTTTGATTTAAACATTACTGACGATATTCGCCAGTTTTTGTGCAGCTGACACTTCAGTTATTTATTTTTCAGTGAATTTATTATCAAAAATTTAACTGAACAGGTGAAATTTATAAAATGACACCAAATTGTCCAAAGAAATCTGTACATTTTTAACAGCGTGCTGTTTACGGTCTCACCTGAAGGTGGCGCTGGCCAGCTGCTCTTCTCGGACGGCCAGCAGACTGCGGAGCTCCGTCACCTCCGCCTGCAGCATCATGTTCTGGTCCTGGCTTTGGTTGATGAAGTCCTCCAGGCGCTTGGCCATGTCCAGCTCCCGCTCGGTCACCTGCTCGATGCCCAGACGAAGCTCGGACAGCTCCTGAGCGTGCTGGTGGGTGAATCTCAGGTTTAACGTCCACGTAGCCGGATATTAAATCACATACGACCAGAATCACTGCAGGTCTGCCTTACCCTGTCCAGTAAGCTGAACTGCTCGATCTCAGTCTTGGAGTCACTCGTCTCCCTGTTGTGGTTGATTTTAATCCAGGGAACCGGTGCAGGTTGACGCTTGATGCTGGAATTCTGAAAAAATAAACATGATTCCTTTTAATTAAGTTCTTGTTTGTTGTAGATTTTTAAAACCTACATTTAGAGCTTTTCCCAGTTCAGTGTTTTGTGTTTTTTCTTGCTCTTGCCATTAGTTATCTAGCGTCTGCCCTTACCTGAAACCATACTTCTTTTGGTGCAACGTCAACACATTCATGAATATTTTACACATTTAAAAACCCTGTGCATCATCTGTTTTTCTACACACACTAGAATATGTGCGATATTGTTGTTTTCCTACTCTCTCTTTCTATTCCCCACTGTGGGATTAAAGAAGATTCATCACATCATTCTTATATAGACAGAATATACACCTCGAGAAGTGTGCACCAGCTGTAGTACCTGGTTGCACCACCAGGTGGAGTCTCAAACTCTTAAATATTATAGTAACCAGAGGAGGCAGGCACGTCCTTGTTGGCAAGCAGAGAGCATTGTGGGAGTTTAGCTCGTAAAGGGGCACCAAGACAAAGACTTCCTGTGATGAGCTCCGGTAGCACAGGTGCTAAATCAAACTGGGATAAACTGGGGACATTGTTGTTGAAATCCAGCGGTGCATGAACACTGTTAGTGACATGTTTCTAGTCTGTGTGACAACAGATGTAAACAAAGACATTGGACGTCACTGCTTGCCAATAGCAGTCTATTGAAAATGATCCTGATGTTTCAACACATCCCTACATGTAGTGCAACCTACTAGAAACAGGTGTAAGTATTTCCTGAGCTCATGTTCTCAGCAGCTCATGTGCTAATAGGACAGAGGCTAAAAAAAGCAGTTCCTCTTTGCACTCACGGTGTTTGGCAGTGAGATGAGCGGTTGGTTGGTCTCCGCCTCTTGTTCGTGGTCAGATGTCGGCAGGGCTTCAGAGCTCGTCTGCCTCTTTAAGGTGTGTTTTGCGTGACCAGGACGTCGGTGTGGAGCGCTCTGAGTCCTGGCCACTGGTTTCCTCTCTCTCCTGCGAGTCCGGCCATCCCTGTTGAATAGACGGATCAGGATAATGGTTTTATAAAGTCTATGCATCGAGCGATGGCATTGTACAGATTTAGGATGCCGTGTAGCATGAATTGAGCAATGCATTCCTGCAAGACGAGTTTGTCTGCTGGTAGTCCAGAACATTCTGCAACACAGAGTGGTCTGACTGCACCTCATTATCAATCTGAAAGAACTGTTTGCATTCCTTAAAACTAGTCACAATAACAGTGGGCAGAGCAAAACAGAGGATGTGGCTTTAATGTTTCGTCAAAATAGTGACAAAAGTTGTTTTGGTGGAACATCTGCATGTAAGGGGACCAACACGGTGACTATAAGGGATAATCTTACAGTGAGAAGTAAGCATGGCTGCCTTCCTACACGATCCAAAGCCTCAGCAAAAGTCTAAAATTTAAAGGTTGTTGTGAATGAAAACGATTAACATGATTGGTTGCTTATACCCGCATCCTACATCTGGAGGGTCCAAATATTAGTTTTAATATCTGTACGCTAGCTTAGGTTAGCCTCAAGTCGTAGAATGGTTTGCCTTGCTCAGCTACAGCGTCTTCTGCTCGGGACATGAAAATCAGAAACATCCATTTTTTGTCTTAAACATCATGTTTGGTATTATTAGGACAACCCCGTAGTTTACCAAAAAACCTGGACCCCAGCATCAGTTTAGATCCTGGACCAGAGATCTCCTCTGAGTGACACGAGGAAACCAGCCCAAAACTCCTGCAGTTCCAGCCCCGGCATAAGAGAAGTGCTTGTCTGACAATCAAATAGTTTCAGAAAGCCCTTCTTCCACAACTTCACTGCGACCGATTGAGGGATCTGTGTTCGACTTTTACTGTAACTGACAGTCACACATACCTCAGATACCACAAAAGGCCAGCGTGCAGGTGTGAAAACCATGTGAGAACTTGTCTGTCAAGCTCTGTTTTTGCATTTTGGACAAAATGTTTGTGGTATTTTTTTTGCCTACAAATAAGTGCAACAGTACGTCGTCCAGGTGAAACTGTCAGACAGTCGATCCCTATTACCACATATGTCCCTGCTTTCTGCCTTTTCTCTTCCTGTATAGTTTTAACTGGACTGTGTGGAGGACCTAATTACAACCTGCTCTATTTCCAGCCGATATGCGCGGTCAGGAAACTAAACCAGAAGAATGAGAACGTGGGCGTAATGTGTGACTTTCTGTGCAGGTGTCTCCAGATATTCAGCTGCATGTTTCTGCACTTACTGTCCTTTGCCTTTTAAAGTGTTTATTGTTCTCCTATGCGTTGTGTATTTGTCCTCTATCTGCTATCCTGATCTCTCTCTTTTACCCTCACCCCAGCTGGATGAGGCAGATAGCTGCCCTACCTGAGCCTGGTTCTGCTGGAGGTTTTAGTTTTTGTCCTTCCCAGTAAATGGCATTTGTTTTTTGTCCCCTATTGCCAAGTGCTGCTGAAAGAAAAAGGGAAACTCTGGATTTATTGGGTTTCTTTGTATACATTTCTTCACCTTACTGCATAAAGTTCCTTGGATGTCGTGTGTTGTGGGTTAGTGCTACATAAATTGGACTGATTAGAATTAAAACTGAACTGACTGGGTGAAAAGCTAAGGCATCCAGAATGAGAAGGACTGAGCTGCTACTTGACCCTGTCCTATGGAGGCAGTCTGAGCAGGTCTAACTGAGGGACCAGGTCAAGAATCTCATTTGGTGTGAGAATACCTCCGGTTCCCCCAGAAGGACGTAGTGGGAGGTCTAGAATTTAAATGAATGAGTGACAGGATACATGGATGAATGGTTGGTGCAGAAACTGTGGGAGATGTCCTAACTGGCTTTCATTTAGACATACGACTACCATACCCTTCTCTTATTCCTTTGGAGTCGACAGGAAGCTGCTGGAGGGACGACAAGTGAGGGCTGTACTTGTCCAGGTCTTTTGGTGGAATGTAGTCTGGTCTGGCTTGTCCCATTTGACTGCAAACAAAAAGCTGCTTCAGTAACACGAAACGAAAACATGGTCCAGTTTGTGACAAGTCAGACGAGATACAGGACTCCAGCGTACCTACTAACAATAATCCGAGGTGCTTCAGGGCCCAGCGAATCTGATATCTGGTTCAGAATCGAAGGCAGAGGGTGCAGCTTGTCAATTGTTTCCTAAGGAAGAAAACATTGCATGTTAGAGTTAATTTAGTATATTCTCAGTATTGTGGTACTGTTAGATTTTTATGGATCTTTTTCGATGCATTTTGGCCCTTTGTCCACATGGAAACTCAGTTTACTGTCACTGATTGGTTGCTTTGGAAAACTACTTCCAGGTTAAGGTTTTCAGAAACTCTGCAGCGTTGACATGCAGACAGGTGGAATGGAACCAACTAACCTGACGACTTTAAATATAATGTCCTACTTTGTTATTTATGATGTGACTTTAGCTGAGCAATATACGTATCAAGGATAAAACCCTGCAACATTACATAACTCTACATGGCTATAATAAATATTAAGGCTATAACTTAACAGTATTATTATTTATGGAGATTAACCAGATAATTTAGAGTTGAATTTATAACCCTACAAAAATAAACTAGGGTTTGGTTTTGAAATCTGTCTTGATAACTTTTGGGTTAGGGTTAGGGTCATTGAAAAAATCCAACGATTCCTTGGATTCCCTTGGAGTCTCCGTATGAAAGGAGATAAGGACTAAAACACTCATCTGGAAAACATATTAGTGTACATCTACAGTAGCTTAGGTCGAAGTACAAATACTATCCAGATGCAGATTGCATATTTACTATCAAGCAGGCAATGCATGTGTAGGTTATAAGAATATACACTGTAATCAGGTCCAAATCCTAGGATATATTAAGCGTAAATGCTAAAATCTTGTCTCCACTTGACCTTAAAGATTAGGGTTAAGGCACCAGCTTAATTCTTTGGAGGTGCTTGCAGGATGGTTCAATAGCTTTGGGAAACTCCTTTGTGCGGAACCTTTAGAGGTTGGAGTTTGGGGGTTTGGCTGTTTCTAAACACCTCATGGTGACAAGATGTTGCACAAGCTTGTTCTTTTCTAGCCTTAACAAGTCCAAATGGTCCGGGGGTATCACCCACCTGGTTCCTCTGATAGATTATGTCCACCAGCAGGCCATGGAGCACAGCCAAACGCAGAGGCAAATCCACATAGCCGTCGAAGGAAGACATTGTGATTTCGGTGTCTGGATTGGACACCGTTTGTAGGAAGCCCCTCATTCCGTCCCAGTGCTGCTGCAGGAATTCGTTCATAAACAGCATATACTCCTCCTTCTCTCCAAACCTGAATCACAACAAAACATGTCTTTGTTGACATTTCTGTAGTATGTTTGCAGTGTGTCTTGCACAGGTCCAAATGCACAAAAGTGAAGCGTACAGTTTTGTCTAAGCACTAGTGATGCAATCTCAAAGATGTGGATTGAGGGATTCAGACAGGGACGGTACAACTTGTGGCAGAATGTTAAGGATTCAAATTTTGAACAGTTTTCTTAGTGAACAATTGTCCTGTGTTGATACTGCTGTTTTTAGTCGACTGACACATGGGAGCTCAGTTATGTTTGCCATCGGGACCATTGGCATCGATCCTAGTATGTCCTAAGTACATACGCTCTAGCTTGAAGGCATTAAGCATCACAGAAGTCTCTGCCATAGTGGCTTGTTGCTAGTTAAATCCCACAATGCCCTCTGCATGGCACCATGAAACTGCTTGTCGTTCAAGTACTACAGTATTAAACAGTTACCAGAACCAAGTACTACAAAAAACTTTATCAGAGCATCCCGAAACCACTCACAGGGTGAAGTTTGCCAGATTCTGGACGACTTTGGCGGTCAGGGTAAGGGTACGCAGGGTGTTTGGTTCCGGATACGGTTGCGTCAGACCAAAAAGGGAAGGGCTGAGAATAGCAGGACATAAGAAACGAAGGAAGAGAGAAGCCGAGATGAGGCGCTGGCCGATCTCCACTCTGCCCTGGTCTTCACACAGCTCCACCCAGCTGGAGAAGATTTTGTGTAACTCTTCAGGAAAGGGTCTGGAGGTAAGAAATAAAGCATCAGCTCAAACAGTACTCCTAGATGAAAGGTTTGGTATTTGTTATCTCATGTCCTTACCCATGGATCTCAATAATCTTCTGCACCACTTCCTCACAGGTTTCCCTCAAGTGCTTCTGGTTGTTTGCCAGGTCAGAGGCCGGGCATTTACGGGGGTCAACCTCACAGTTCTCCATCGAAGCGTAAAGACGGGTGATGAAGTCTCCTGCATTCAAAAGGAAAGCACAGTGAAAACAAAGCACCAATCCATACCAACTGAAAGAAACCATGTTTGCCTCAGAACTACCTTACCTAGTGTGTCAATGAGGTACTTCTGGCCAACCAGCTTCATATATTCATCTATGGCTTTGGTGGCCAGGGTGTTCTCTCTGAAGATTAATGCTTCCTTCTCACCAAGACGTTGCACCTCATCACTGCCCAAATCGATGAGAAATTCCTGAAGCAGATACATTCAGTTTAGAAACATGTCAGATCATACAATCTTGTTCTATTTTTAAATCAGTAGTAAACTGCATCATGCAGTTATGCTTATACTCCACCTTGGCTTTGCCGATACTCTGGAGAACGTGGACCAAAGCTCCTGCCAGCTCCTCCTTCTCCTTCACGTTCAGAAGTGGTTCCAGGTTTCTGCACATTTCTACATAATCCACCGTCACATACTCGGCAAACTCTTTGTATTTCTCCATCGGCAGCACTTGCAAATTCTGGAAGCGGGCCTTGATGCGGAGTGAAGCCTGTGGACCCAGCAGCTCTTTGTTCCCTGCTGTGCCGGACGACTTGTATGGAGCGATGGGGTACCACTTCTCCTGATAGGTCCTCCCTCGAATGTCAGCCAGCGGTATGGCCACGCTCCCCAGTGGGTGCAGGTTGAACTCGTCTCGGGAGTGACGCTTTTTCTTGGGGTCTTCTTCGCGGAAGAGGTGCAGGCTGATTTGGGAGACGCAGGGCAGGTTGTCGAGCTCAAAGAATTCACCCCAGAATAGTTGACACCCTCCAGTTGCACCTCCACTGGCCCCCAGGCCTCCCAAAGACCCAGTGGAACCATCTCCTGCCAGACTGGAGCGGTTCGATGGCTTGCCAACAGCTCGGCTGCTGGTGCGGGCGAACAGAGTGCCATCCAGATGCAATTCGCAGTAATAGCGCCGTTTGGGTGGCAGATCCTTCGCTTCGTTCACCCACAGACTCAGGGAGTTCTCTGTGCGCTCAATATTATCCTGTTGATGCATTATGATCATTTATTATCTTAACATTTTAATGTTAAACGACACATATTGTGGAATAAAAGGCTCACCTTATTGGGCTGAGCAGCCCGTCTCAGGTCTTCAATCCAGCGGTCACGTTCAGCAGCTGAGGAGCAGCCAAAGCAGTGGGTGTTCTCAGAGTTGATCACCTGCAGCACATTGAAAGCAACAGGACTGCTCTGAGAAGCTTTCAGACGTGGGACATGTAAGACTGCTGGCTTCTTCAATCAGGTAAAGTGACAGCATTTTATCATTCAAACACAGGTTACTTTTCCGTTAATGTCCTTCGTCTTCATTCAGAAATACCTGAACGTTGAAGAACAGAGCCACAGTACAAGTGAAGGATGATGCAAACAAAATATTAAACCCAAACTAACTGCAGCTCATCAAATATTCAGAGAATCAATAGTTGAGTTTATTTAGTTGCTGCTGTTGTTGAATGAGTTCTGTTTGATGCTGCAGGCATTAGATAAACTCAGAGGAAAGACTCCTGAACAGCTGGAAGCCACACAGTGTGACATGCAGTTGGATCCCGACCCGGACCATCACTTCTCCATGGGGTGGTTTATAATTACTATGCTATATATTTACTGATGGTGCTGGCAATGGGTTTCCACATCTGGAAATGCCTGCAGCTTTCTTTCTCTGGAGACACTGATGTGGATCCTGCTGCTGCTGACTGATGATACAGGTACTTAATAAACTCAGAGGAAATAGAAGCAACAAACTAAAGTTCAGCTCATGTCAACGTCTTGTGGAGAGAAAAAAAACCAGATGGCATTTATTATTGGTAAGCATCATCTGTTTTAGTAAGTTGTTTTTTTTTACTGTGGACATTTCAGTTTGTGTCCTATTCAGCATGTCTGAAAGGGGCTTTTAGATGTACAGGGAGGTAAAACTTCTTTTTCTAGCACAGTGGAGGATTTTGCACAAAGTTAATTAAACACACGGGTCAAAACTTTACCTCGAAGCAGTACTTCTCCCCCAGAATGGAGCTGTGGACCGGCCTGATGACAGTACTGGTGTCTGCACTCAAATCTAGACTCCCAACTGGACTGACTGGAATTGAGACAGACTCCCGGGAACCATAGTGCCTTCAAATGAAACGTGGTGTAAAAAGTGAGTCAAACGTTGAATCATAGATGATCTGTCAACTTTGTTTTACTTCTTTACTACCCATTGTTCCAGCCTTAGGACATTCAACCCACTGATGGAATGTAACTAAAGACAAATTTGAAGTACTTTACCATTTTTTAAAATCTCACTTTCGACTTCTACTTCATCACATCTCAGACAGAAATATTGTCGTATACTTTATATAAGCATTGTGCTCTATTAGCAGTTAAGCTGCTACGTTTTATTTTTGCATGCAGATAAATTTGCACATCATCTGCAAAACAATAAAAAGGAATTTTGTGTTTCGTAAACATGGACCTCGGGAGCAGTATATACAATGACAACGAGATCGGGCCCAAAACGGAACCCTGAGGGACCCCACTAGCCCACTACAGACAACTGGAGTGTGTCTGTGTATCTTTTCCCTCAGAACCATAACAGTGTACTTTACCTGCTTCCTTTGGTCAGTCCCAGCTGGGTGTTGCTGTTCCTCTTGGCCTTGTTCTCGCGGCGTCGCTTGATCAGCGCCTGAGGGTGAAGAAGGCACGCACGGAGGTTGAGAGTAATTACAAAGCGCATCAACAGGACATGCATCATCTCTGGTGCGTACGACACTCACCATCACGCCGCCATCTTGGTTCTTTTGCCGAGGACCTCCCGGCACGCCCACGGGGTCCGGACTGCATTCTAGATGAAATACATAGAAACATGATTGGCTGGAGAAAAAAAAAAAGACTTTTCTGCCAGTGGTGTCTGTGGATCCAATTCATAGACATAAAATGAAACACCTTCAGTTGTCATTTTTGCTATTTAGAAGTTGCGGTTTGTGCTTTTGCTCCGGAAATTGTTTCTGGCAAGTGTTTGATAACCTTTTATCACAGCTGGTATGTTGACTTCTCAGAGATGTAATAATAGATAGCATTCATGAGTTACCACATTAAAGTGGTTTCCAGTAAGAACAAAACAAAAAGACAACATACTGGGGTTAAGATTTAGGTTTGTTTTTTCACAAGAATTTACATATTAGGGATTAAAACCCGACAGAGATTGTACGAAACGCTGCTTTACCTGATTATAATATGTATGAGGGTCGAGATCCTACATTCAGTAAAAATAACATTTGAACCTATCAATTAAAAAAAATGGGCAGTTTGCTTCAATCTCTTTGAGTTACAACAACTTCTCATGAAGTTGTGTTCACAGGAGTCTTAATCCAACTCGTTTAAATATGAAGTCAGCGTCAGTGACGATGGAGATTAACTGACTAAAACCCAACATGTGAAGGATTTCCTGGATTCCGTGTGAGCAAACTGTGTTTTATTCTTAATTTAATGGATTATTTTGTCGTTCTGTTGGTGTCTTACTGGACCAGGTTCGATATGACAAGTCAGATGTCTGACACCAGCCACAGCACTAAATTCTGCACTTTCACGCCAAAGCACACAAAACACTCGCCCAGGATGCAATATTACAAAATGTTTTCGGATTAGGTCACACAGGATGTGGCTGTTTGCTGTTGGCTGACTGATGCAGCTGCTTGAGCAAAGTTTACTAATTGTACTGACTTTCTGCAGCGAGTTTTCCTTCATTTGTACGTTCAGCGTCCCTTCTTAATCCCTCAGTTTGTTGGTAAAGGTAAAAGTTGACGGTCTTTGCTTACCCAAAGCCCCACCACAAACAATCCAGCGTCTAAATCCCATCATTTAGTCCAGAAGTGCGTCCCAGTCGTACGACTTCGACCTCTTTAGCATTGCCCTTCTCTCTTCGCTAACTTCTAACTGCTGCTGATAATCTCAGGATCCACGCAGCAGCTTCAGAGCTTCTTCTAATCAAAAGTGTGTTAAATGGAGGACAGCTTGTGACTTCTCTAAGGCGTCTATCTCTCTCTCTCTCTCTCTCTCTGAGTTTTCATTGGGCCGCTAGAACACCAGGGCTTGATGTTATCTTCCCCAAAAAACGTAGAGGAAGCAATTTCTCACGAATAAACATCCAGCTATTTCCTCTGTGACCGTGATGCCAGTAGCTGCTGCTTCCTGACGCGTTAACCTGCCCTCGCTTCAGTCTGAGTCCTGACCTGAGTCGATGTCCACCAGGTTCTGCAGGCTGACGTTGTACAAGCAGCTGCTGACCCGGTTTCTGGTCCACATGGTGGGCTGAGAAGAAGAACATTATGTCACCACCCCGACATGATAATTTAATATAACACTTCATACATCTTGACTTAGCAAGGCAGGTACGATAAGGATAAAGGACAAGACAACAGCAAAGTGACCAACGCTTAATTAAAAGTCTGATTAGAAAACACAGCGCGTCAGAGAGTTTGAAGAGGAGATTAAAAGAGGCGAGTGGTTCCTGTAGAGCGAAGGTTCTTCATTCTGTTAAAGTGACTGCATTTGGTCTTGTGTTCAAGGGCCGTATGACACATAATGATTTTATTTATGGTCATTAACGAAGCTACGAGTGCGTCCATGCACACAGCCATGAATAATATCTGGATGTTCGGCTCTCGTTTGGATGCTCCTGATGGTTTTAATAAACTCAGAGGAAATCGTCCTGAACAGCTGGAAGCAACAAACTGAAGTCCTGCTGATGTAAAAAGAAGCCTTTTTCAGACTTCATCATTCAGTTAAAGTGATGACGTTGGCAGGTATTTGTCATCGGCACATGATTGGACAGTACGTCCAAGGTTGTGTGATACGTAATAGTCTATTAATTAATAGTTAATTAATGAAGCTACCAGCTCTCTTGCTTGATTACAGCCACTAATAATATTTGGGTACTCAGAGGAAATCGTCCTGAAGCGACGAACTGAACTCTGACTCTGTGAGTGACCAGAGAAGAGAAGCACCTAAAGGGACTTTCTCTGTTGGATCCTGGACTGGAGTTACTGGTGCTGTGGTTCCACACATACATCTTCTGAGAGAAGCAGGAAACTGAGATGGACTAATCGGGCCGTGTTTTGGAGGCCGGAGTAAACGGACTATTGACATAATGAAGCAATGAAACGGTGTGAGCTCCTGTCAGTGTTCTGGTACCTCTTCCTCTGGAGAAATGAGAATCTGTCCATCCTCCAGCATACAGTTGCTGATGTCCCACAGAGGAACCTCCTGAGGCGGAGCCCACGGCAGTCGAGGGAGCTCCGTCGGTGCTGGTTCTGACTCGGCCACATCTGCTGCGACATTACAGACGTTAGATATTCATCACTACGCTGTAAAAACAAACTGATTTAACTGTAAATATTCAATGATTTGCTGTTATTTCACAGATTTTCCCTGTTTTATTAAATTCTACACATTAACTGTTAAAACCACAGAAGTTTGTTTTATAGAAAGAAAACTAATTATAAAAGAATTTAAAAGGCAAAAACTGTAAATAAAGTCCACATTAAAAATCTCACAGTTTCTCTGTTTTGTTGGTTTACAGATAATATCCAGTAAACATGTAGTTATAATAATCATCAATAACATCCACAAATAAAACCAGTACTTTATAAATGATCATTTGTTATTTTACATTGTTCGAGCATAAAATTACACTTTTTTTATTGCAATTAAATCAGGAAAATATGTCATTTTACACATATTTACCATTATTTTAAACAGCAATTGACTGTATTAAGAACTAAAAAAAAAAGGAAAATGATTTTTAAATCTGTTATTTTATCATTTTTCTCTGTTTGGTTACATTACAGATGATAAGCAGAAAAAAACATCCCAGAAAAAACAAAACAAAACTGTAAATAATGCATTTTCACAAATAACAATTTGTTGTTTCACAACATTTCACCACAAAACTACACGTTTCTTCTTCTGTATTAAAATCAGAAAATAATGTCATTATTTTGCAGATATTTACTATTTTTAAAAAAAGAAAAACTGTGTGTAGGAAATGGTAAATCATTTTTCAAGAGGTGTTTGTAGGTTTGTTCAGTTGTAGTTAAATCACAGTAAAAAAAAAAAGATTTATAAAAAAAACAAAACTGTAAACAGTGTCGACATTAAAAATATTCATTTTTATACATAGGAATTTGTTCTTTTAGAGTTTTGCATAAAAGTAGAATTTTACTCTATTTAGATAAAAATATTAACATTTTATACATATTTTCACATTTATTATTATAATCATTACTTTTATTATTGTTTTATTTTTTACAGTTTTGAGAGTTGCAGCATTCTACTGTTTTTACACGTATATTTTTGGCACCTTTACGTTCAGACTTTTTTTTATCGTGTTTTTACATTTTTACAGTGTAAACAGCCTCCAGGGAGGACGCTCTGCTGTCGGGTCAGAGATGTGATCACACCACAGCGGCGTTCTGTTCAACAAACTCTGAACCAGAAGCTCCTCTCGCTGTGTTCCGGCCTGACTGCAGCCACATGCTGAGCTGCCTTCTGCTCATGACGGCCCGATGACGCTCCTCCTCCCCTGATGCTGCTGATGCTGATGCTATCGCTGCCTCTCTTTTCACGACACACCGGGTCGAGCTGCACTTCCTGTGGTTTGCGTAGTTGGTTTTCTTTCACCCGTAATGTTCACGTTCCTCCTCGTGTATCTGCGTGAGCCTCGTATTTACATTTTTCTTGCAGCCGTTTGCTTTCTACAGAACATTACACCAAAAAGAGAAACCTGCAGGCAAAAGTGCTGCTCTGTGTGGTGAATAAATAAAAGCACACAGCAGCACAATGTGGTTAAACTACTGCAGAAAAAGTCCTGGTTTGGTTTGGACAGAACAGAAGAAACTCTGATGCACAAATCTTTGGTTTGTTTCGTTGAACTTAAACCATGTGAGGCGTTTGGAGGGAGAAGCCACGGCTGTGAACAAGTCTGACATGAACCATGTGAGCTGACCGCACACGGCAGCATGTGTGAAGCCACAACGGCTGAAAACAACTACGTGGAAAGACACAAGAGACACACAAAATGGCTGCGAAAACGAGACACAACACAACAAAAAGAACACCAACAGGACAAACGTTACAACGGCGTTACACAAAACTACTGAAATAAGTCACAAAATGACAGAAACTAGTCGCACAACAAAACAAACGAGACACAAAACGCACAAAATTAGAATTTTGATCTAAAACAATAAAAACTTTTCCCAAACTGACACAAACACGACAGAACAGGAAGAAGGAGACACACAAAACAACACAAAATGACCCAAAGAGCCAGAAAACAACAAAAACAACAAACAAAACTACACAAACCAGCTGCATAACAACACAAACCAGACATAAAACGACAAGAAACAGACAGCAAACAACAAAACTGAGACATAAAACAAAACAAACAGGACACAAAACATCACAACACAACACAACGTAGACCCACAACAACAAAAACAAGTCACAAAATGACACAAACAAGACAAACGACAAGAACACGACACTAAAAACAACAAACGAGATACAAAACAACACACCATGAGAGACAAAATGAAAACAACCGCATGCAAAACGACACAAACCACAAACAAAATTACACAAACAAGAAACAAAACCTACACAAACCAGCTACGTAACAACACAAACCAGACACAGAGTGACAAAACAGACACCAGACAACAAAGCTGAGACACAAAAACACACAAACAGGACACAAAACATCCATATGAAACCAAAAAAACATCATAAAATGACAAAAAACAAACAAAACAAACATAAAAAGTCACTAAAATACACAAATGATACACAAAACAATAAAAGTTTGACACAAAACACCAGAATTAGACAAAAACAAACCAAAGCAAAGATTTTTTTTTAAAAAGTCACAAAACCACACAAATGCAACACAAAGTCAGTTCATGTGTAATGTGGTGGCAGCACGATGTTATTATTACGTTATTATCACGTTATTATCACGTTATTATTACGTTATTATTACGTTATTATTACGTTGTTATTATGTTGTTATTACGTTGTTATTACGTTATTACTGGGGTCCTACTAACAGGGGCGATGCAGTGAAGTCCTCCAGCTGCTGTTTCACTGTCGGTTCTGATGTTAGTCGTCTATAACGTGTAACACACTCTACTTGTTGATTGTAGGGATGAACCTGATTGGTTTGAAACTGGAGCTCAGACCTGATGTTTAAAATCCTAAAGAGTCCGGAGGTTGAATATGGACATACTGAAGGAATCCTACGTGATCTGGACCTCTATCCAGGTTGTTTTAAATACACAAAGTACTGAAGCTAAAAGTAATGGGATTACCGTGCAGTAACGACGGCGTGCTGTTGCGACTCTGCAGCCGGGGCCTCTTGAGCTTCTGGGACACCGTCCTCAGGTACTTCTTGAGGAGCGCCCCGCCTCCGGCCTTCTGCGAGGCGTCGGCGGGGGAGGAAGCCCCCGAGGCCTCGGCGGCTGCAGCTGAGGATGGAGCGGCGCCGGCGGAGCTGGAGGACGCCGACACGCCAGCAAACAGCGACCCCGAGGGCTCGGACTGGGCCCTCTTGAACGGGTTCTTCCTGCCTCCGCCGGCGCCCTTGTCCGGCTTGGCCCCCTCCCTGGGGGAGGTCTTGTCGCCGGGATCCTCGCTCAGGGCCTTGCGCCACTGTTGCATCTTGTTCCATTTGTTGCTGGAGGCCTTTTGAATCCTGTCGATGGTGGATGTGGAAGCTGCTGCTGCTGCTCCTCCTGCTGCTTCTGCTTCTTCTTTCAGCTCGTCCAGCGTCCCCTTGGAGCCGGTGTGCCACTTGTAGGTGTTGAGGGGGTCGGCGGGCTCGGCGGCTGCTCCTTGGGGAGACTCCACATGCAGCTCCTTGTCCTTGTCCGGGGACTCCTGCTCTTTGGGCTGAGCTGCAGGCTCCGAATCTCTCTCCTCGGTGCCCATTTCTGACTCTTCAGCTCGACGCTCTCCTTTCCTTCGCCGCTGTCGTGCAGATGTTGGAGATGTGCGTGCTGCAGAAGACAGACTCGTCCTCTCTGCTTCTATCCGTCTGCCTCTCTCGTTTCCTGTCTTGCAAAAACGCTATCCGGCATCAGCTCAGCTGCTCTGTCTGCAGCTCCTCTGTCACGGCGCTGTGCTTCCTCATCAGACGCCACAGAGAAGTTCACCTATTCACAGAAATTTCACTTTTTTTCATCTGACCTTCATGTTTTCATTTAATACTTCCCTTCTTCTTCTTCTCTTCCTGTTCTGCTTTTATGTCAAAGGGTTTTTTTTTCTTCTGCAATTGAGGCCCAACCTAAAGACATTGAGTTTGTGTTTGTAGCTCACAGGGATCCACACAGATGCTATTTTCATGGTGTGATGCAGTCAGTCTGCAGCTCCACCATCACCTCAGAGGAAACCTGCCAGATGTTGTGTCACACTGTGATGACGCCATTAAACCATTTGTCTTCTGATAGCAACAGAAATCTGTCACGATGCAGCAGGACCGGATGAATCTCATAAAGAAGTCTGCCTGCAAAAAACCAAGAGAGAGGAAATAGTGTAACGTTCAAAAACTAAAAAATGGTGAATATAACAGCAAATAGATGTAAATGTTTTACTGTCATGCAATGCAATAAAGATGAATTATCTGCATTTGTTTTAAATGGGGAAAAACTGTAAAATAACAGTTAAAAAATAAAGATATTTTTAGTTCCTAATATGCAAAAAAAAAAAAGTATTTTAAATAAAGTCAAATAGCTGAAAAATTACAAGATTTTTGCTGATTTAAATGCAGTAAAAAATATATAAAAATACACATTTTTGATCTGGACATTATTTACAATTTTGGCCTTTTTTTCCCCCCATTTGTTTATTTTACATTCAACATATAAATTAGTATTTTTTTCCTGCAATTTAACTCATTGTTAAAGTGCAAATATTTGCAAAATATTTGTACATTTTTTGGACCTGTTAAAAACAACAATAGTTTATTATAGTGTAACTTAAAAATAGTTGAGATTTACTTCATTACATAAAGAACAACGTCTTTACTGTTGCATTAAATGAGTGTAATGAGCTGTGTCACACTTCAGCTAATCGCAATCAATACTTTATTATCTGTAGGAAAAACAGCGATCAGCTACCTGTGGGCGTTTGGACTGTTGACTGTTGAGATCAGTTTCCCGTCGAAGCGAAGCCGCTCTTCCGGCTGAGTTTAGTTCGTCAGGCGCTTAGAAACCACATCCTGCCCTCGTTGCTGCTCTCTGCTCACTCACACCTGCAGGATATTTCTCTGTTTCACTTCTTACCGTGAACGTCTGCCTGACAGCAAAACAAGCAGCTGGACGGCGAGTTGCTAACGCAGGACCTGATGTCTGCATGTTCAAGCATCAGAGCCGGAGACTAAAAACAGAAAGAACTGCTGGACGCCAAACGCTGCAAATCATCACAAACCCCATATCCCCACTGAGAAGCACGGTGGTGGCAGCATCATGATGAAGCACGGCGGTGGCAGCATCATGACGTGAAGCACGGTGGTGGCAGCATCATGATGAAGCACGGCGGTGGCAGCGTCATGATGAAGCACGGTGGTGGCATCATCATCATGACGTGAAGCACGGTGGTGGCAGCGTCATGATGAAGCACGGCGGTGGCAGC